TAACGTGGTTCATCAGTGAGTGGGCCACCATCAGTGACCGGGCCACTTTTCCCACCTTCATCACTCACAACTTCTATATCTCAACTAAAATCAATTGAATCAATTGCAACTACTCAGAATCACTTGAACTATTTATTTCCACAGCCTCTGGACAGGTTCTTGCATTGTGGCCGGTCTTGCGACAGATACCACAATGTCGTAAACCTGTCCGACGACGCTTTGACGACCCCTCGTTTTCCTCCTGTTCACACCCTTCCTCCTCAACAACACCCTTTTCGGCCATGGCTTCCCTTGCCTGAGACCCATCTAGTGCCCCTCCGTCTTGTAGTCTAGTTCTTTTGGCTCTCCGACGCTTACTAAGGGCCGTATTTGCTTCTCGAAGATGGCGTAGCTCTTCCTCCATAAGGGCAGCTGCATGGGAAATATACTGCAGACCTTTTTCAAGCTTATCAGCAGCTTCACAAATTGGAGTTGGCGAGCTTCCCTGATGTCTAGAGATTCTTTCCTTTATAAGTGAAGACTGAGAAATAGCCTCATTAGTGGTTTGAGGCGTCTTAGAAACCCAAGGGTCGGGTAGCCTGTTAGGAGTGTTCGGGGCTGTTGGTGTCCGTAACTGCACATCCAGCTTAGAAAGAACAGTCTGAGGGCTATAGGGAATAAGCCCAGCCCCTCTGAAACCCCCATGGACGTTTTCATGGGTAAAGGTTTGAAGGAATGCGGCCTTGAATGCGAGGAAGAACTCGGGTTTAGTGATGTGGGTAATCCGGGCCTTGATGAAGTGCTCAATCTGTGAGCCATATCTCAACTTCAAGACACTATAGCAGCCAACGTCGAGAGGCTGGGTTAGATGTGATGAATGAGCTGGTAGACAGATAGTTATAATTTTGTTCTCCTTGCAATAGTCCTCGAAATCGCTGCTAACGTGGCGTTCATGGCCATCGACGACTAGCATCCGATATGTGCCTCTCAGTCGTGGTTTTGAGTATTTATCGAAATGACAAAGCCATTCCAGGGCAGTCTCGTTATCGGTCCATCCATTAGAAGTTGTTTTGACTGCCCAGCTGTCCGGAATCTGGGCCTCAGAGTACCAACTCGCGAGGTGGAAGCGGCCCTGAACCACCAAAAAAGGCGGCATCGCGTAACCATTACCAGCAACACAACAAATCGCGGTAGCCCATTCTCGATTACTAGGCTGAACCTTTTTTGGCTTCCCAATCCGATCGGAACGTGTAACAACCATTCCAGGCCGGATCATACCCATCATAAAGCCGGTCTCATCAAAGTTGTAAAAATCATCGTCCGTAATACCGTATTTCGATCGCATATTGGCCACAAGTCGGAACCAAGGCTCGATAATTGTACGATCTTCGCAGAGGCCCCTCTGATAGTCATAGACGCGAGAAAATCGCGTCTTGAGCTCTGGGCGACGCTGGACGAAGCGTTCCGTCCAGCGCTTCCCGACCGGTCGGCCATCACGCTTCCGGAGCAGTGTATTGGCCATATCTCCCACATCCACGCGTCTGGGCGAGAATCCTCGAGAATACAGGTCAATAATGTATCGAACAATTGCCTCTTCTTCGGTCTCTGTCAAATTCAGCTGGGCATTCCTGCTATCGACCTTCGCACTTTGACCCTTCATTCTGGACTGGAGGGTAGTTCTCGGAACGTTGTAGATGGTCGCTGCACGTCGGATACTTAATCCCGGTGTCAATCGGATCGCATCAATTGCTAGAATGATCCTGTGTTCGGGCGAGGTTTTAGACATTGTTTTGTGGAAGAAAGGACGTATTAAAGCTAGAAGGTGATGAAGGTGGGAAAAGTGGCCCGGTCACTGATGGTGGCCCATTCACTGATGAACCACGTTATAGAAATCGGCGGATCGACGATTTCATTTTCAACGCCCCGAGCTGAGTTGAGCCATGTGCCCTTTTTGTTTCCCGCAATCTCATATCTCTGCGTCCCCTCTCCTCCCTGTTTTCTTTATTCCGGACATGTACGGAGTACGCCCGCTACCCTGGTCCTCGTCCACCGGTCTGCGTACCCGCCTGACCCCTTTCTTCCAATGAGATATACACATGTACACATGCAGGTCAACAACCAGATAGATAATGGGAGATGATAATGAATTATGCTGGATACGAATTGGGTCCACACGCTTGGGCCTTCGTTCGCGTTGCGATCCGTTGTGGTGGCTTGCCCAGCTCAGTCGAGTCCAAGAGTGCGGAGGGCGCCGGCGTTGATCTTGCCCTGCAGGGACCGACGCTGTTTTGCACTAAAACACAACTCTCTTTTAATTATCCTGGTTCCTTTCGGATGATACCGATTTACCTGCTCTACGGCGTATTGGGCGTAAGCCACAATATACGTTGATGGCTTCTCCGCGGGGTCCTTGTCATCACACACCACGTTTCTCAGGAAAACATGGGGATCTTTTTATGAACGGGGACGGGAGCTGCATCGGATGTTGAGTTGGCCGTGTCTTTCGCTGACCGGGCGCCGGAGTGTCGTCTTTGCATTACATCAGACGGGGACGGGCGAACGATCCAATGTTCGCCGTCGCCGTCTTGGCATTTCAACCTTTCCATTGCGGTCGTCCCTTCCGTCTGATATCAGGACTTGTAGTTGGCGAGCTTTTGGTCAAGACGCGAATAGGGAAGGGGCTAGACCGAGGGACTGGAAGGGGTCCCTCTGTGCGCGGCGCGATCGATAGGACGGGACCAAATGTTGATCAAGTTGCCACTGGCGTTGGATGTTGGCGCGGCGCGGTACTATCCGTGGCCTTGGGACAATGGATCGCTCCGTTTCTATTCTCGTTGAGAACGGAGCGTTGATTTGACAACATCGTGGCCTTCAAAGACCTCCCATCTGAAAACGTTACCGGCCCTGAAAGGCACAAAGATGGCCAACGTAGAAGGCGGGACCCAGCCTTTGAACCACCGCAGATACGAAAACGAAAGCCGCTAAACGAAAACAGTGTCTGTGGCTGGTGCCCCACGCGCCACCCCTCCTGCGCCTTGTCTTTCAACGATGATCTAATCACTCCTTAGGTAATCGGTCATCCCAGTCCTGCCCCGGAGCTCGGTGCATTTCCCGTCAAATCTCCGAGCGTATTCACCTGGTTATCCTTGGCTCTCCTGCTCAAATCAACCTTTCTGCTTGATACACGCTCATTTAACACAGCTCTTCCGCTCGGTAGTATCTTCTGCCCAACCTCCCGAGCCCGTTACCACCGTGAAGCCGTTGGGCAGAAAACCAAGTGTTTCAAGTGGGACTTCCGGGACGTACGGTACGAGCCTGCTGCATGCGACCTCGCCGTTGCACGTGTAGAGGAAACAAGCTTTCTGCACTATTGGCAATTCGAACGAGGGATTGAACGAGGGTCGAACCTCACTTTTTGTAAGTTGTCTCCGGGCTCGTGCCAAGCCAAACGTATGCAGCATGTTTGCTGGGGGCCCGACTTCAAGATAACTCTAAAAGTGCGTGGTGCTCTGTTGTGCAGAGTCGTACACAACACAAGCGTTGGTTGATTGAACGTCTGCCATCACCATGGTAGCATCGCGGTCTACCCTTTCATCTTCTGTACTGCATTCTTAAGATTAAGAATGCTTCAGGTTAGACAGACGCGAGAGCTTCTTGGAACAATCTCTCCGGATGTCATTTCTTATATCCGTCCCCGGAAGCCCGGCACCACCTCCCACCAGCCCCGAAATCGCGTTCGCGGCTCAGGCACCCATCTCGGCAGCTGGTACCCCGAAGTCGGGACAATCCACATCGACGCATCACACCGTTGGCTTGGCTGATCCCCGGACCCCAGATGCCCTCTCCAATCTCCCAATCACCTGAAAGGCATAACCAAAAACCTCACCGGTCCTATTTTCCACCCATCACGGCTCGCCGCTCAAACCCCATCTTCTCCAATGCGGAGAACCGGGGGTCAAGCAACCTTGCTTCGTCGACAGCTGACGTCGTCCAACCACCCAATTGAGCAATGAGGCAACGAGCTAGGCCAAGCTAAAGCTTCTCCCCCTCATGCTCTCCTGTCGCCCTGCCCTCAAGCGAGTCAATCGTGAGGGGTCACGGTGAGGAGCACGAACCGTAAACGGCACCAAACGTGCCGGCTGTGCGGCTCAACCCCTTCGTTTGGGGAATCAGAACCATGCTCGCCATGCAAGAACGCCAATCCGGGGTTGAGAAGTCGGGGTAATGCAAAGCTTGGAACCTCGGGGTCTTGAGTCGCGAAGGGCAGTTGAAATACTGAGATCTCGCCCGCCATGGCTGCCTGTCTTTCGTCTGAAGAAGTCTTCAGTCGCCCACCTCGTACCTCAAACACGTCGACGATCGCTTCACCGACAAGATGAGGACCGCCGCAATCCTCGCCACGGCCCTGACGGGTCTCGTCTCCGGCGCGCCCGCGGCGCCGGCCGCCAAGGCCGAGCCCTTCCTGGAGCAGGTCAACAACCAGACGTGGATCATCGGCAATGACGTCTGGAACATGACGCAGGGCCTCAAGTACGGCGTGAAGCTGTACTACAAGGACCGCGACCTCGTCGGCGACGCGGTCGGCCACTACGTGAGCTACAGTACGTCTCTCCCTCTCTTGAACTCTACCCGCATATCGAAAAAAAAACGACTAACACAAACCCCCAGATGGCGCGGCAAACGACATCGCCTGGTCCTCCGCCTCCATCGCCCACAAGGGCACGCATGACGGCACCCCCTTCATCGACGTCAAGTTCACCGCCACCGACGGCGACTTCCACTGGGTCATCTTCCAAGGCCTGCCCGGCGCCTACCAGTACTTCGTCAACCGCGCCCTGCCCACCCTCGGCGAGTTCCGCACCCTCTGGCGCCTCGACAACGCCTCCTTCCCCAACGGCAAGACCGCCCTCCACGACAAGCCGCTGCCCGCTCTGGCCGACTACCTACCGCAGAACAAGGTCCAGGACGAGACCTGGCTGACCCCCGACGGCACCGGCTACATCACGAAATACGACTTCTCCGACCTCATCCGCAACCAGACCGCCTACGGCGTCTACGGATCTGAGTTCGGCAGCTGGTACATCAACCCCGGCAAGGACTACTACAACGGCAACCACCTCAAGCAGGAACTCATGGTCCACCGCGAGAGCGCCACCGGCGACGCCGTCCAGCTCAACATGGTCCACGGCACGCACTTCCAGGTCTTCGCCGTCGACGTCTTCCCGGAGGGCAAGATGTGGGGACCCTGGCTGTGGTACCTCAACGACGGCTCCCCCGCCGACGCCGAGGCCCGCGCCAAGACCGAGTTCGCCGCCTGGCCGTACCCCTGGCTCGCCGACGCGGCCTACCACGCCCGCGGCACCGTCAAAGGCAAGCTCCTCCTCTCCGACGGCCGCCCCGCCGCCGGCGCCGCCGTCTTCCTCGGCGACAACCACCCCAACAAGACCGCCCTCGACATGGGCAGCGATTACTACTACACGACCCACGCCGACGCCTCCGGCTCCTTCTCGATCCCGCACGTGCGCGTCGCCGAAGCCGGCTACGCGCTGCAAGCCTGGTCCGCCGGGGGCGCCCTCGCGGACGTAACCACGCACATCCTCTTCAACGACGTCTCCGTCACAGACTCGAAGACAACCGACCTCGGCACGCTGCACTGGGCCGTCTCCAAGCGCCAGCGCCTCTTCCAAGTCGGCGCCTTCGACCGCACATCCCTCGGCTTCACGCACGGCGGCAACCCGCCCTACGCGCACGCCGTAATCGCCTCCTGCCCGGCCAACATCCTCTACGAAGTCGGCAAGTCCGCGCCGAGCGACTGGTGCTACGGGCAGACGCACCAGGGCAACTACACGATCCGCTTCCCCGTCTCCGCGGCACAGGCGTCCGAGACGGCGAACCTGATCGTCTCGCTGGGCGGCTACTCCACGGGGGCAAGCAGCGTGGTGCTCGTCAACGGGCAGCAGGTCGGCAACCTGACCAGCGGCGCGGTGGGCGCGGACTCGACCTCGGGCCTGCTGAACGACCCGTCCGTGTACCGCAGCGCGACGCTGGGCGGCGAGTGGCGCTTTTTCGAGTTCCCTGTGCCCGCGGCGCTGCTGAAGACGGGGGAGGATAACGAGGTCACATTCCAGCTGACAAGGAACACGACGTGGAGGGGTTTTATCTGGGATAGCATCGTCCTGGAATGGTGAATGATGTCTAGACGTTAAAATTTGAGCTGTATATATTGCTTTGTATATAAATATTTCACATGGACATGCAAATACAAAGTCTTCGAGTTTAAGCTGGAAATCTCAGCGAAAACAATCAGATTTGTGAGGTTGACAGCACCAATGTTACATGAAAAGGTTGCCAACGACTCCTTTTTCATTGAGTCACGAGGCACGAATTGAAACTCTCAGTCGGATTGCGAAAACCATCACGCCAAGGCGGCTGTTTACCAGTGTTCAAACTATACGTCTACACACCCTCTCCTCATAAACATACATATACAGGGGCAATACCGCGCTTACAATAACACACTCAAAACACCCAACGCCTCGGCACCCATCGGCTCACGATAGAAGGAATGACCACCTTTTTCAACTAAGGGTCAGCAGGCTCATCCGTCTTCGTCTCCGTCTTCTTCTCAGGGTCGTCGCTGGTGGCAGCAGGCTCCCCGGAGGCAGGGGCTTCAGTCGCCGGTGTCGGATCAGCAGCAGGAACCGTCTCAGGCGCAGGCTCAGGCACAGGCGCAGCTGCGGGCTCAGGAGTAGGCACCTTCGGTGGTTCCTCAGCAGGCTTCTCCGGCTCGATGGGAGGGACCTCAGGCAGAGGTACCGGGTTCTCTACTTGCGGCAGCTCGGCAGGCTCCGGGTGCGGGGCTGCGGGTGGTTCGGGCAGAGGAGACTTGCTCATCTCGGCTTGGCGGTCCAGCTCCGTCTCCAAACCAGCCAACAAGTCGGGGCCTTCGTCTACCACGGGACCAAGGGGCACTTCCGCGGCGGCAGGCGGGTTGGCCTCGGGTTCCGCTGTCGGGATCTCGGCGGAAGGCTCAGTCGGGGGTTCGACGATTGTCTGAACTGGTGGTTCAATGGGCGCTGGTGGGGCGTCAGCGGGCAGCGGTGTCGGAGCTTCGACGGGAGCCTCGCTGGGGGGATTGACGGCTGCGTCCACCTGGGGCTCTGCGGCTGTCTCGATAGGAACATCAACTGAAGTATCCATGGGAACATCGGCAGGAATGTCGACGGGGATATCAACAGGGATGTCAACAGGGAGCTCTTCCGCAGGAGCTTCGGGCTCGATCGTGGGCTCGATCGGTGCCGGTGCAGGCGCCTCAACTGGAACTTCCGCAGGTGTCTCGACAGGGGGCAAGTCCAGTGCTTGAGTGAGTGCATCGCTGGGGACATCCGCCGGCGCCTCGATCGGTGGCAAAGGCTCAACAGGTGCAACGGCAGGCTCGGGTGACTTCAGCGGAGACTTGACAGGAGACTTCACAGGCGACTTGACGGGTTCAGGGTGATGCTCAGGTTCCGTAGGCGCAACAGTAGCAGGGACATCCTCAATCATAGGCTCGCTCGTCTCCTTCTCTTCCACAGGATCTGGGAAAGAAAGCTGCTCAGTAGCAACTGACGGGGCTGGCACGCTGTCGTCCTTCATCTCCGAGTCCTCCTGGACCAAGGGAGCCGGCTGCTCCTCGACAGCCGGAGCTGATGGTGACTTGGCGGCTGGCTGAGCATCAGTGACCTCGGGGACAGAGACGCTCTCGGGTGCCTGAGAGGGTTCAGGAATTTCAGGAATATCCAGAGCCATCGAATCCTCCTGAGGAGCATCGTTCGACGCAATGGTCTGATCGGCGCTTTCTATCCTCGACCCGGAGTCTTCTGTCTCTGCCGTGGTTGCTAAAGAGAAGGTGGATCTCGTCTCTGCCATCGGAGAGACGATGTCGCCGACCTTCTCAGCAGGCGGAATATACGTCTCATTGACCGTCTCCGAAGCTGTGTCCAGGGGCAGCTGCTCAGACGCAGGAGCCGGTGGCTGCTCGGCTGGTGCCTCGGGAGCGGGCTCGGGCTGATCGGCCATGTTCACATCCTCCTGCTGAGACTCGACGGCTGGCGCATGAACCGGCACTGGGGACGGCTCTGGGATGGGGGCAGCTTCAGGGACGGCGGGCGCTTCAGGAGCTGCAGGAGCTGCAGGGGCCTCTGATGCGATGGGTGCTGGAGCAGCAGAGGGGGCCAAGATCTCCGCAATGGGCGAGATTTGTGGCGATGCCTCGGTAGGAGAGGGCAACACGACGTTCTTGAGAGGACTTCCCCTCGGCGACGAGTTTGCCAAATGCATGGCGGGAAGAGGTGGTGCGAGGTTGATGGGGTTCGGTGGTTGCCCAGAGCGGCTGGCCAAGGGCGACTCGGGTTCGGTAGATACAACCGATGCGTCTACCACTGTTGGTGTAGGAATAGCTGGTGATGCATCCGTCATCTCGTGGTCTTGGCTTTGACTGTCTGTGTTCTCGCCGTCACGCTGCTCCTCCTCGTTGTCGTCGCCATCGTCTCCGTCGTCACCATCATCATCACCCTCCTCATCGTCATCGTTGTCGGCCATCTCGCTGTCCGGTTTGTTCGAATCTTCGCGCTCCTGCTTAATAACACCCTGGGCATAGTCAGTGACGGTTCTGCAAAAATGAGCGATGGTCTACTCACGTTCTCTGGGCCCTCGGCTCCCTCCCCCTTTGGCACAACTGGAGCACCCTCCACAGGCGGCGCAGCGCTAGGAACAGCGGGTGCACCAGGAACCGGCGCAGGCAGAGGCAGATTCTTCTTCTTGCGCCCGCGCCCGGGACCGGGCTTGTTCTTCTTCTTGGGCGGCGGCGGCCGTCTGACGCGCTGGGGCTGCTGCTGCGCCGGATCGAGGGCCGCAACAGGCACCACCGTCGTCGAAATGATCTCTCCCTCGACCAGCTGCCCATCCTGCAGCGTGATCTCCTGCGTGTACGGGTTGCCCGCCGCATCCATCTTTCTCACGGTAGCCCTAGTAACCGTCGCGCCGACAGGTGTAGCAGCAACTGTCTTGGAAGAGATCGTGACGGTGCCCTTCCTGCGCTTCGCGAGGTGCGAGACTGTAGTACCCTCCGAGTTACGGTTGATCTGCTTCCACACCTTGATCTGGAACCCCTTGTCCGCAGTCTCGTCCTCCTTCTTCTCGGGCTTCTCAGCCACCGCGTCCGCGTTTTCCTCGTCATCCTCCGTCGGAGCAGGGCGCTTGTACAGAACACCAGACCGCGCCGCGCGCAGCAGGTCCTGGCTGTGTTGCGGCAGCAGGCCCGCGTCCTTGGGCATGCCCCACGGGAGCTCGACGTCCCAGATGTCGTTCTTCTGCGTCGTCTCGGTCTGCTGGGGCGGCTGGACGTTCACCCACTCCTGGCGCCATTGGCGGACGGGGAGGCCCTCGAAGTCATCGTGTTCGGCGTAGCCGCTGCGGTTCGCGCGTCGAGTCTGCAGGTGATGCTTGTGTTAGACGCAAGGGTGCATGCGGTTTTTGGATCGCAGACTAAATCATGAAACTTACGCCGGGCGCCATTTTGAACTCTACAATCTACAACAAAATAACAAAACAAAGATTATGCGCCGTTAGTTACGGTTTGGCCAAATTGACACTGTCGCAACGCGCGTGGGACGTCCGGTCGGGTCGTGGTTTTCGGCGAGCTGCGTCGAGACACCGGGACTTCGCGATGCATGCGTTGAGTGCGTATACTCGCGACAGATATTCTCAGGTCTGCGACCTCAATTGAGCGAAGCAATGCGACGCTCGTAACGGTGTTGCTTGGATGGTCGATTGACAAGCTGTACTGCAGCCGTGCCATGCCTGGGATTGGTTCCGCTGGAGGACCCAGCCTCGTCGCGAACCAAAGCGCGCCGGGGTCATGAGGAAGGTCACGTGGGGACTTCGGTCAGGGGAGGTGAGGCTCGGTGTCATAGTGGGATACCGACAGCAGGCACCGTGCATCATCGATTTCTAAAGCTACCTAGGTACAACCTTCTTCGCTTCTCCCGAGTCGAAATGGCTCGCAGCCCTTTGATGTTCTCAACTGTCAATGCTCCACACTGTAGCATTCTCCTCATTCCTCAGTGCAATAAGTATCGCGGTGGACAATCTTCCATCACCATCCTCCGAACTCACTGAAGCCCATCATGAAGCTATATCCTTGTCAATCACCAAGCTCTCCATCGCCCATGAAGAATAGAGTCTCATCACAGAGCACCAATATCGGAGTGTAAAAGCAAAAAGGCAAAAGCTGAAGGTCCAGCACTCATAGAAACTCCATTGCCATGTCTATGCCCCAAAGCCCTTGAAAACCAAAACTCCAAGAGTGGAGCTTTTTGCTGGTGAATCCGCCGCCGCCGCCGTTCCTGTTTTCCCCTCCGACTCGTAACATTTCCCCGAGAAGTCAGGTATTCGTCGTGATGGAAACCAGCGGAACCCCTCTCTTTTCAACTGTTGCGGCAAAAATGTCGTGTAGTGGTACACACTTTCTCTCCCGGTTTGTCTCTCTGGTGTCCATGATATAGTACAAGTCTCTCCGATATCTTTTTCCTCGACATTATTATCGGCCGTCGCGGCCCGGTGATATTGGAACTCTTAGTCCCATCTGTGATGCAACAAATCAGCGACTGCAAGCAGAGAAAAATGGACGCATCGCAAAACATTACTCACCCCTGATCCTTTTGCCTGACGATGTCGCCCTTGTCCCCCTTCTGCTTGCCCGCGGCGCCGCCCTCAACCACTAACCGGTCGAACTGGAAGAACTGGCTGACGACCGTTTGCCTCTGCGCAGTCACCTCGTTAGCTCAAACATGCTCCCTGTGCCGTCTGCAGCCAAAACATCGCCACCACAGAACCCCTCCCCGGGTGTGAACCGCCCGAGGGGAAAAGATCCTCCATCTCCCGCAGGAAGGAAAAAAGCCTCACCTTCATAGCCGTGAGCTCGTTCAGCCCCTTCTGGATCAACTCCTGCACCCTCCGCTGGTCCGTCACGTCCTTGTTCTCCCGGAACGCATCCCTCGTCCTGCGCTTCGCGTACTCGCGGAAATTGTACGCCGCAAACTGGTCGCCCGTCCTCAGCATCTGTCGGTACTAGAAGACCCCAAAAGTCACTCGTTAGCGTCGTGTTCTGTCCATTTGACCCCCAATATCATAAATCGCAGTCGTGCAGCCAGTAGCAAAATTTCTTCGCCCCCGGCAGAAAAAGAAAATACGCACCAAAGACCGGACCTGCTGCGGCGCATCGCCCTTCAAAGCTTGTATCGCCGTCGCCATCGTATGCGCTTCGCGTTGCGGGGGTTGTCGAGGGAAAATCACAGTGACGAGGAAGCTGTCAAAAAAAAGGCGTCGTCGCGGCGCACGATTGATAATATTTCGCAGGTGGGAGGCACTTGTCCGGGGGGTGGGTGGTGGGAGCTGCACCTATGATGCAACGCAGTGGTAAACTTCCCCCCCAATTCTCGGCGTTTAGCTTACCCAGTCGGGTCGGGGTGTCTCTCGGCGCCGGCATTTTACTAATCCGCCGGCGAAACGCGGGAATTGGACCTGGAACCTCTGGTTTTTCGTCACCGAGATGTCTACGGCTATTCGGATGAGCGCCCGAAAATTCAGCGTTCCGCATTTGGCAGTTGACGCCGCCGGGCTTATGTCCGGGGCTCACATTCACTCGGAAAATTCCTTTGCAACTGAAAAGGCGCTTTTGACCCAGTCATTTGGGTGACTTGATGTTCTCCATTCACCCGGGCCGTGATGATCATCCTGCTTTGCGAGACGTCGATGACGCATTCATGCTGAAACACTTGCCTCTGTAAATACCTCTATTATGCTTAATTATCTACAATGCTATTCCTTTGTTATACAGGGCCTGCGGCTAACCGGTCCGCGGCCAAAGGGGGCACCGTGTATGTATTTGTATGCCTTATGTTCTGCAAACCCATCTGTGTATGGATGCGATTATGTGATGCGAATGTATCTCCCCACACCATTAAGGCAGGCTCATGAAGAGCTTCTCCATCGCCGGGTAGTTAGGTGTGCTGAGATTTAGGTCAGCGATGATGTCTTCCACAATGTCAATGATGCAGGCGCGAAGCTTACCCCATGCCAGTCACAGGATCCCATCCTGGCACGGCAGAGAACCCCTTTGTGCCGCAGCCCGGGTTGTCTCCGTTGGTCACGTCGTTGAGGATCTCGGGATGAGCGTAGAGGGTAGGGTTGATAAAACCGACGGGCTTCTTGTTGGCCTCAATGCGCTTCTCATTAATCATGTTGATGATGGAGCCGACAACTGGCGCGGAAGCTGCGTGCATGTCAGTATGAGAGTGGCTAAATCAGTGGCTTAAGAAGCTTACCTGAAGTACCAAACGACAACGAGAACTTGCCGTTGACAGCAGTCACGTAGTTGGCGCCGTTAGCAGCAATGTCCGGGAAGCCACGCACAACCTTGGAGTTGTTATAGCGATCTCCGCCGTAGGGCGGCGCGTTCTTGGCGTAGTACTCTCCGACCATCTTCTTCTGGTAATCGGGGATGGCGAAATAGTTGGAGAAACCGCCACCGGAGAAGATGGCCTTCTGGCAAGCGCTCTCGGGGGTGTGAACAGTTGAGCCCTCCAAGACCTGGGTAGCGCCGACGGACGTGACCCAGGGGCATCCGCCGGGGAATGAGGGGTTGAAGATGCCGTTGGCACCCTCGTTGTAGGCGCCAGTCTGCGAGTCGATACACTGCTTCCCGTTTCCAGCGACGCCTGAGTCACCAGACGAGTACAAAACCGTGACACCCTGCAGGCCGAGCTTCATGTACTCAGCGCATTGGCGCTCAACGTACTTGCGACCGAGGTCGGCCTCGTTGAAGCCGTAACTTGTAGAAATGACGTTCACCATAGGCGCCGAGCCGCAGACCTTGTTGCTGTACTGTCCGTCAATGTTCGGATCCTTGGAGCCGCCTCCTTGGAAGGTGCAGTAGCTGCCGTCAATCGCGTCCAGGAAGTTGTTGAAACTTGCGCCTTGGTTGATGTCACCAACCTGGTAAAGAGTAGCCGTTTGAGGAAAGATCATGGCCATGGCAAATTCGAGATCGAGAGCAGATTCTCCGTTGAAGCGGAAGCTCTGATTCTGAGTCTGGACGACGGCGTTTCCAACCAAGGTGACGATTGGGGGCGTCTTCTCAAGACGAGGCTCAAACTCCTTGAAGTACATGTCCAGGTCACTCTGGAGGAAGGCTTGCGGGGTGTACTCCACGATTCCGAGCGTGTTGTTGGAATTCTTCAGCGATCCTGGCGGGGTTGCGTAGAGAGCTCTGAGGCAATCCGGGGTGATCATCATGTCGCATTGCTCGAGACTCATGAGCGCGTTCTGAACGACAGCACCTTGCTTCGGCCCGGCTCCGCTGTCCGGGTTACCCACGATTGAGGGGTTCTTGATGCCATTAATGCCCCGCTTGGTGAGCTCACGCTTCTTGAGCTGTCGCCTCTTGAGCTCCTCAACATGCTCCTCGGTGAGTTCGTGCTTGGTGTTCTTGCGCTGCTGCCCCAGCTTCTGGTCGAAGTGTACTGAGGGGGTGATGATGTCGACGTGATCGACCAAGTGCTCCGGCAGATGGTACTTGTCGCAAGCAACGTGGGTGTGGCCTTGCTCGTGCTTGTAGACGTGGTACTCCGTTTTCAAGAGTCTCTCGACTTCGCCCGCGGTGCCGTTGAACTGAACCCAGTTGCGCCCCTTGGAGAGCGCAACGCGACTCCGGTGGATACCTTCGCTTTCGAGCCATTGCATGACCAAAGCTATCGACTCCTGCCTCGGAGCGAACATTTCGACGATTTCGTCATGAGTCCAGTGCTTGCCGTAATTAGGGGAGTCGGGATGCGCCACATCATTCATGAACTCGTTTGCGCGATGAAGGTTTGACTGAGCGAGACCAATCCGGACTGGCAGCCTGGCCATGGTGTGTAACCGGTGGTTCTTGACCCATTCCCGTCGGGCAGGGTGCCTCTCCTCGTGCACGACGTGCCTGTGCGACCGTGTCACTGGGTTGGCGGAGGTCACCGCCGCAAGGACGGTGAGAAGGGTCGCAACAGCACTAAACTTCATCGTGTCTTCCCACTCGTCTTCGTCGTCGTCACTTTACACACGGGGACAGGATTAGCGAAAAGGTCGAGCGACGAGGTTGGCTTTTTGTTGATATTTAGCAGCTGTCGTCCAGTCATGACGAACCCCCACTGACGCAAGGTACCAGCTCCAGACACGACGAATGCGAAACCGGTTTCAATGGGATCCTGTGGGCTGTTTGTCTGGTGGTAGACATCCAAAACGAGCATTTTGGGTGAACGGCAGCCTGTGCGCTAGGATCCTGTGGCATGGAGGGAACACCTCTTACATGAGCAGTTTCTCCAGCTCCGAGCCCTTGCGTGATAGAACCACTGCGCGGTTCTTACGGCCTGGACTAATGTCGGAAAGCCATGAGGCAGATTGATCAACAAGAGGCCGATAGCCGAAGGTTAAGCTTTAGGGCGAGGTACTTCAAACAATCGTCTCATGTTGGAATGGACCACAATAAAATTCTAGGCGCTTGCCAAAAAAACCAAGAGGACGAGGATGGCGGCCGATTCGTGTTGGTCATGCGAGACGGACGATCCGGCCTTCGACTATTCTGCTATAGATGGATGCGATTCCGATGTGAATCCCAGAATGACTCGCTGGGGGAGACAGGAGAGTCTGCAAAGTTTGGATAAGGTCAATTGAAGGCTCGAGCCGCCATCTGGAATCCGGACCAGGAAGCTGAAACGCTCTCAGGAACGGGACGAGTTGGCCTCGACGTACGGCTGCATTGTCAGCCTCTGCAGCGCTCGTTGCTCGTTGATAATCTCCCATAACTCGTCCGTTTCTCTCTGAACTTCCGCATCGCCAGCCTCATCGGAAGCTTGCGCAGGAGGCTCTTGAAACGACAAAATGGCGGCTTCGAGAACATCATTGGGCAACCCGTGGCCATTGAGCATCTTTTGGAACCTCGTCTCTTGCTGCATCTCAGTGTTCAGTTGAGACGCGAATGTGTATTGACGCTCGGCCTGGCTCGGCTTGATAACTGCAGCAGGTTTTGTGGACTGCGCAGCTTGCAGCAGCGGGGGGAACGCGAGGTTTGTCACAGAGGCATTGAGGTCTGCCAGCTCTGTCGGGTGCCCGTTTTCGGTCAACTGCCATTGCAATATCTTGCCTCTGGTGTGACCCGACAGGACCGTCGTGCCGTCATGGTTTGGTGCCAAGCACGAAGCCGGGCCAGCATCTTCATCTGCGACTCCAATCGGCGAATTCACCTGAACGACAGTGGAGGACGATTCAAGGCTGCGCGGACCAATGAGCGGCTTGTCTCCGAGCAGCTCGACGAGGTACAGCGATCTGTCCTCGGATGAAACGAAGACGGCACGAGCACAGGGATCCATGGAAACGCAGAGCGGAGCCGTGGGGAAGAGCAGGGTGCGAAGAACATCGCCCGTTTGATAGTTCCAGATGATGCACGTCTTGTCCTTGCTGGCTGAGACGCAGATGCTGGTTTCCGGGTTGACACTGCGGCTGATGGCGAGCGACGTAATTGCAGCGCGGTGATTAGACAGCGTGCGGTCCGGCTCGTTTTCGACAGACGCGTTTAGCTCGAGAAGACGGGACAACGTCCAGACGTGGATGTTGGAATCTTCGGAGCCAGTGAGCAGATGGTGAGGCGTGACTGCGAGGCACGACACAGCCTGAACATGGCAGGGTGGGGTGGTCAACTGACGACCAGTGCAAGTCTACTGTTTCGTTAGCCACACGCGACACGGCGGAGTTTGGTTTCCTCTCTTCGGAACAAAGACTGGATCTGTTTACTTACTTCCCATAAGATCAGTCTGCCTTCAGCAGTCCCCAACGCCAAGACATCGTCGATCAACGCCAAGCTACGGATTTTCTCCGGGAAGGTGATGACGGCCTCCTGGATGCCCCGGGCCCGTGAGTAGACATGGACCTGGGACTTTTCATGCTGGGCGGCAAAGATGCGAGCGTCACTGACAGCCAAGCAGTTGGCCGGGGTGTTGCTTTTCTTCAGAGTTGACTTGACAGAATAGCTGGGGCTGAGCGAGTGGGCGTAGATGCCAACATCCTTGGAGACGGCGGTGTTTGCCGCTATAGGCGGACCGCAGATGCAGGAGTAGAATTCCTCTGACAACATGGTGGGATGGTCTGGTGGTGGCAACGAGGCGCGCTGTCCGATGGTGTAGGGGATTGGTGAATTCCGGCTAGGCGCGTTTCCCACGGATCTCTGTGCTGCGACGCTCGTCCGAGAGCGGCCCTGACTCCGATGTAAGGGGTGAGAGAGTGCGCAACCCGCGGCTTCTCCTCAGCCGCGTCCGAGGCGAGAGGATCGGATCGCAGCGGCCACGAGGATGACAAAAACGTGGGAACGAATGATCCAGCGCCACGAGAGGCAAAGACAAGAAAACGAGATAGCCGTGGGGGATAATCAGGGCGAGTGTCCCGAGTCGAGTCTTCTTCGCGACCACGTTGGATGGCTTGCTTTGGATGACTTTTGATCCAGATGGGCCCGGCTGACGGTTGAGCCGAGAGCGATGCGCGGGTATCTCGTAACGAAAAGCAGGAGAATTTCTTCTTGGCTTAGATGACACGCCGGTGCGCTGGTGGCTTTGAGACAGCAGGTGCCAAATCTTGGCAAAGGCCGATGTGTCGAAACGTCGGGTAGGTTGAATGAGGCTGCTTGACGTTCGAGATCGTGAAAAAATTCGAGTCCACTCTGGAAAAATGTTATCGATAAGTCGCCCCGTCTAAGGTGCCTTAGCGCTCCCGAAGTGGAAACCAGAGCTGGAGGGGGAAGGTGCCCCGCTCCGCAGCGCTAAGTGCCTCCTTCCCAGGCGAGGTGGCTTGCAACGCTCTACTACCTATGCTGCCTCAGAAGGCCGCTAACAAACGAGCACCACTAGAAAATATCGCAGTGGGACAGCTACATAAGCACTCCAGCGAGTCCAGCCTGTAGAGTTCCTGTAAATCAGCCACTAAGTCACTCCCTACCGCAGCCGAAGGCCCTAAAGACGCCGCTCTTCCGCCCTAGAAACACTAACACTGCAGCGGTGCGGGTAAGGACACCAAGCGGCAAGCTCTATGAGTGGTGCAGTTGAAGCTCTGTCATCTCTCAGAGTCTCACTACTAGGTAGGTACCAACCAACTCCTTGCATCGTCAACTTCCATCGCCAGGTTTTCCAACAAACAAGGCGCAAAGTTCACGCTGTGCTTGGAAGCGAGACATGTCTCCTCTGCTCCGGCAGTAGCCCACGCCACTAGAACGATTCATCGCCCTCTGATATCCAATATTCTGAGTCAGTCATTCTCCCGTTCATCTCACCACCACCGGCTCGAACGTCGGAACCTTGGACTGTCGTTGGAGTTGAACGTCCGGCCTTGCAACGCCCTCTCAGCCCGTCGACGCCATGTCTCACCCGTCCTGCGCTCCGGGTTCCCGTACCAGCTCACCGCTCCGGCCAGACCTTTCTTTTTCTTCAATGATCGACCGCTATCTTATCTTGTCTGCACGGATTGCCCACGCACAGCAGACTGCGGAGACGTGAAGCTCGCTTCCTCCATCTGACGTGACGGCGCTGCATACAAGCGACGAGCTACAACAACGGTCATATCTCGCCTGCAGCTCCCCGACATCACTCACGTCTGCAGCCCTTCACGCGAGAAGCTTCTCTCGTGCCTCGTCTCGCCAGAACTTCAGCTGCTGCCGTCTCGTCTACACTGCAGCCAGCGCCTTCGCTGTGCTCGGTCCTGCATAACTGATTCAACATGCCTGCCGCCTTTACCTTACTCCATACAGAGACAACGCCCCCTTCTGTGGCCTCCGAGACAGGGTCAGATAATATCAGCAAGCCAAAAGTGTCACTCTGCGCCGTTGACAGGCAGATGACGATGAACCCAAACGAGCCACCCAAGCGCCGCCAGCCCCGATGGGCTCCATTGCTCCATTCCAAGACGCGTGGTCGCGATCTCAACGGTTCGAGCAGAACCAGCGCCCTCCCCCGGTCGTTGGTTCTGTGGTTCATCAAATCTTGCTGCCCGCCCGGCTTTGCCAGGAACAGCTCCGCTGGCTTACACCCTCCCCGGCCCCCCTCCCCTGGCCTTCATCCATCGTATCTAAGGCAGGCAATCCATGTCTAAAGCCCTGGCCCGCCAGTGGAGGCCACGAATCGACGTCGCAATTTAATCCCATGATGCTCTGATGGGTCCTTGCCTGCTCGAGCGAGAGCCGGAGGAGCAGCAGACTCCCGCTGCGCGTTTACAGCATAGTGCATGTCCGCGTACGCATGCGACCTGCAATAGCGGCAGATGGATTGGGTTGCGACGCGATGCGACATCTCTCATCTGCCATCATCAATGCCGCTGCACAACAAAGGCTTTGCGCAGGACAGGAAACCTACAGCACTCGAGACGAGACTAGACGCAGAAACGCACGCACAGAGCAAACAACAACATGGCCCCCTCCCCAATGCCAATGCAGATATGCGGCGTGGGATCCGGATCGACAGTTGGCTCAGGTGGCTGCGGTGGTGCACTGGTGGCTGCTAGGGGACCATCACCCTCTCATCACCCTATCACGACCTGCTTTCTGCTGCGCTGCCCCTCAATCTCCTGTTGATCTCGGCAGGGGAGCAAGACCCCAAAGGGGACAACAAGCCAGAGGCCAGAGAGAGAGCCGAGAGACAATGACAATCAAGATGATCCCCAATCGCCACTTGACCAGTGCCGAGACGATCAGCTGCCACCTCCCGGCATCTCGCTAGCCATTTGGAACTTTGTGCTCGCCGGCAATCTCCCCAGGTCGGCTCTGGGAACTGAGGCGGGAGGCCGTGGCTGTGTGGATGCTGGAGAAGGAGAGACAATGAACCGGTTTCCATTTACACGGGCCTGTGTCACCGGCCGTTGCTTGCCCTCTGCATGCATAGCATTCATGAGTTGCACTTGGAACAGACACAGACGGCTGAAGGCATCAGGCTGGCCTGCGCTTGCAAGAGGATGGATGCAAAGTGCAAGATGCGGATGCAGATGTGCTGCAGCAACACAGACGTGGTTGCACTAATATGGAATAGGCGGGACAAATGCCTGTTCATTCAGCCTGTACCAAGGGCCAATGGAACGCTCCATGCTTACCCGGGGGTCCAGCATCTTGATGCGTCTGTTCTCGAGGACCCCCAAAACAGAGAGACCCCAGGCTGGATGAGAGAATGACCGATTACTTCCTCTGGTGTCTTGTCATTTTGACATCGAGGGCTGTTCCAGGCACAAGTGCACGTGGGTGGATAGAGTCAACGGACTTTGCTGCTCAGAGAGGGCAATGGACCCTTTAGACTCTCATCGTACCGCCGTTTAAGCCTCCATCGTACATATCCAACTGGACAGACAGTGGGCAGTGGGCACCAGACGTGTGTCATGGCAGCGGAACCGAACCAAGAAACTTCAGAGATTTTTTATGTGCGCCGAGCTTGTTTTGATGACGATGGCACAGTCGACCGTCCAGCAGACTTAATTGCCAAATGAACACCAGTCATAAGTCATTGCTTTTTGGAAGCGAATGGCAGCGAACTGCCGTATGCAGCGCAGATATGCACGCTGTGCCCACTGCCAACGTTGTATTATTGAAGGCTTACCCACGCCCCCGTCATATTGCTTTTTCGGCCTCATCGTCTTCCCTTTTTTGGCGTGGACCGAAGAACGGAGTCGAGATTCGAAATGGGCTCTTCTCTTTTTTTTCGTTGGAGACCTGTCGAACCACGGCCACGAGTCCACGACGACTGACTGCGCCAGCTGCTGCTTGCTGCTGACCCTGACCTAGCTGCCCTATTCCCAACAGGGCCATTCCCCATCCGCAAGATCCGGAGTCCCGCACGCCTGGCTCCCTCGGTGCTAGTGAGGTGAGGTGCTGCTGGCTGCGTTGGCAAAATGCTGGCGCTGAGCTCATCTGCGAACTATGAAAGGGCCACGGACGATCCAGGGCCTGCAGAAGAAAAGACGCGATGAAGCCAGTCAAAGCCCAGGGGACGGATGACAGTGGTTGTGACTATTGCGCTACTGCAGAGCAGAGGACGGGACGATGCAAGGGCAAAGGACCGCGGTCAATAATGTCTTGCAACTAATCCCAGAGCCCAGAGCTCTAGATAACAGCCCCCCCTCTTCACGCACAACGCAAGGTGTTGTTCTATGGGATGGATGTATCCATAGATGGATGCTCGACTGGACTGGACCAGACTGGACTGCTGCTGTTCTGGTGGTGTTTTTGTTGTGCGTCTCCTCGAGTGGCACGGCATACGCAGCTTTCCCCTCGGGCAATCTTGAGCAATCTTTCTCAATCTCACCATCTAGCCTTGCCCCCCTCTCCTCTCCTCCCTCGCCCCCTCGGAGCTTCGCCTCGAGAGCTTGCCTGCATTCTCGCCGTCCAGTCCAAGTCTCATCCAGTCCCAACCGCCCTTCTCATCTCCCGAGTCTGCACGAGGAAGGGTCTCTCTCCCGGATCCGAACACAGCGTCCCTGTTTTCGGACCCTCTCGCCCAGCGTATCGAAGCTCGATCCCTACAAGCGAGGTCTTCTTCTGCCCTACTGCTCCGTCCTCCTCCATAGCAATCCTACCCACGGACATGTGCAGCTGCCCGGCGTGTCCATTCAGACTGGAGAAGCGACTGGAGATTGATTCTGTCTCTCAGAGAAATAAATCCCAGCAGAGACGAACACCCCTCCCCTCGTCCAGCAAGCCTCTGGGACCCTGTCGTCAGCCCTGGACAGCTTAAAGGCTTCGCAGCTCCCAGTGGCCACCTTGACCTCATGATCCCTCCCCCCCTGGCCAGCAGCAGTTCTCCCCTTTTCTCTTCCGTCGCCCAATGGCATGAGCATCAACCCATGTGGCATGCACCCCATGTTCGCGTTAGACGTTCCAGCTCCCTTCCCTGCCCCACACGCGACCGAGGCCCTCCCTGCAAGGAACATCTCTCCAACAACCTTTAAAACATCCCGTCCGCCGGCCCTGGAGCGAAGACGCTCCGTCCGGAGCATGAAAAATCTCCTGCCACTGACACTGCCTTCCAACCCGCAGCCGCCGACATCGATCTGCAGTCGAAGTATCCCGCCGCCAACGCCGCTGTCACCGCCGCCCCCGACCACTCAGCCGTTGTCGTCCCAAATCCAAATCCGGCCTCACCACCACCTCCACCACCACCAGGAACGCCAGCAGCAGCAGCAGCATCACCAGACACACGCCCACCCGCAGCATTCCGACGAGTACCAGCCTCCCGGGCATATATGCATCCATCCCGGCACCATGGCCGAAGCCGCGGAACCGACCATGGACTGCAATCTGCCGGAGCTCCTGGCCCAGGACCTTGAGTTCTCTAGTCTGATCTTCGCCTCCAAGAACATGACCGCCGGCGCCCCCTCACCCGCTCTTGCATCCGACGAAGACGAATGGCCCTCCGCCGAGCCCCCGACCGTTCTCGGCGCCCCGTGCCACCCTAACGGCGTGCCGCAGTTCCAGCCTCTTGGCGCCATCGACGAGAAGAGCAGCGGCGCCAGCGAAAACGACTCTGACGCCGCCAGCTCGAGCGGCGCGTCATTCAGCGAGGCCGAAGACGGCGACGACGAGGCCGCTGCGTCCCCCCAGATCCGCCAGCAATCTGTCCTCACGACTGACACCACCATCTCCGCCTCCAGTCAACCACCAGTACCAGCACCAGCAACGGCACCCTCCAAACGACTCGTCTCCTTCTGCGACGGGTCAGAAGAAGAAGAAGAGGGCATGCCGGTGAGCTGGATGGATCTAGAGCCGGAGGGGCCCGGCGACCACCCCGAACTGGGCAAGAGTCTGGACCAATCACCAGTCACGACGCCCATCAAGCCGGTAGTGCGGCCGCTATCCCGGCTGGGGGATAAGTCCATCAACGAGTCCCAGTCGCCGCCGCGGATCAAGAGCGCCAACGCCGCGACTACCACCCGCCGGCTGTCCAACCCGTTTGAGGGGTACACGCGGCCCACAAGCCGGGCGCGGAGCCTGCACGTCAACCCGACGCCGGCGCCGATGCCGACCACGCCAACCCCAAATGCCGGCAAGGAGAGGAAGAAGCTGAAGGAGAAGGAGACAGAGCAGAACCGCCTGTCGGTCCACTCGTTGCACTCCATCGAGATCGCCGTGCCCACGCGCAGCTCGTCTTTGAAGCACCGCGTCTCTTTCACAGATGACGCCCGCAAGACTATTGCATCGCGGTCGCGCGCTCGCTCGCATGCCTCGTCCACGCGCACCGGCTCCGACCACGTCACCGCGCCGGGGACAAACAGGAGCTCCATCATCGCCGACCTCAAGGAGGAGCTCGAGCCGTGGTTTCGCTACCTCGACGAGCAAGAGGAAGGCCTCCTTGTCACTCCCCGCCCCAAGTCACGCTCAGCAGAAACCTCACGATCTGTGGTCACACCACGGCCCAGATCCCGGGCCCAAACCAGATCCCGCCCGACATCCTCAGTGAGCGCCACGTACACATGGCTCGACGACCCAATCGACATCCCTTCCCTCTCCTCCGAGGAAGCCCGCCGGATCCCCCTCCCGCCCAACGTCGTCGAGTCCCTCCGCATCTCCGTGACCTGCTTCCCCGAGACCATGCTCCTCTGCTCCAGCCTCTCCATCGAGACCATCCGCAGCTACTCCCGCAAAGTGCGCCTCCCCGTCCACGAACCAATCGGCCCAGACACGCCGCCCGCCTCCCCCAAGCAACGCTGGCGATGGCTCGCGCCGCGCCGCAATAACAACGCAAGCTCCTCCGTCCGCCGCTGCTCCTCCCGCGGCGCCGCGTCCTCCTCCAACCTCGACCTCTCCTCCCTCGCCCCCTCAACCGCGACCCTCACCGCGCCCCAGTGGTCTCGCATCCGCAACCTCTTCCCCACGGGTTCCGACTACCTCTGCGACGCCCTCTACGCCCACATCGTCGCCTACAACTACCTCGCCCCCATGGTCCAGCACGCCGGCCGCCCGCCCACGCCAGGAACCCCCGAGACCACCGGCACGACAGACGAGTCCATCCCCAAGAAGGCCGCCACCCTGCTGGGCCTCCAGGGCATGCAAGAGACCACGCCCCCACCGCCGCGGCCCCTCCGCAAGCGCTCGAGCATGTTCCTCGGCCTGCGCGCCTGCTCGTCGCGCCAGTCCTCTGCGCCGCCGGTGCCGGTTACCCCTGTGCCGACGGCGGATGTCACGCTCCGCGACCTGCAGATCGGCATCCGGCGGTGCATCGCGCGGCTCGTGGCGACGCTGCGCGCCGAGGGTGCGGATGGGCCGCTGGCGGGCGAGTCGGTTAACGAGATCGACCCGCTCATCATGCGGTCGCTGTGCGAGATTGTCAAGTGCTGCGAGGAGTCGTCCACCAATGACCGAACTCTATAAACACCAAGCATACTTCACACTTTGCTTTGTCGGAAAATTTTCTATCATCTCTCTTCTCAAGCGTTCACTTTACACACACACACACGACACACACACATATCAACGTAGACATCATCATATCCCGTGAGATGGCGGGAAAAAAGACAGGTTTCATGTTTAAGGGGGAAAGCATTGTTTTTTTGTTTGGTATATATACCCTCTTTGATTTTGGCAGGGATTTCCTTTTCCCTTGTTTTGTTGTTTTTCGTTTTTGGTTCGAGCGTAGGAGTACCGTAGACAAAGGGAGGGAGTCAGTCAGTCAGGCAGGGAAACACAAAACATGGCGATGGTTGGGAAACGGGGGATGGGTGGACGGTGTTTGTTTGTTTACCTGACTTAATGTCTATGAAAAGACAGAAACCCAAAACAAGCAGAAAGTGGCAGTGTGGCCATGTCTTTCTTCAAACCCCCAACGGCTCCCCTCGTGCCATGCTTCCTACCTTGTATCATGATGCTATTCACTCTTCCTCAGATGTACTCTACACTCCCCTCGAAAGGATACGGATCCCGCACCACAGTCCCAACCTGGCTCTGCTGACTCCCCCATTCCACCGCATCCTCCGTCTCCCTCCGCGGCGGCCTCTGCCCCTGCACAAACGCGTCAAAATCCCGCCTCCTCCCCGGCAGCGCCGTCCCTCCCCCACTTCCCACCGTCGCAGTCCTCGGACCTTCATCAGTACCATTCCACACGCGCGCAACGCGCCCCTTGCCCTTGACCCCCTTCATGAACCCGTTGCTCAGCCCCAGCAGCCCCGCGCTGCCGAGCAGCAGCACGAGCAGCGCCATGTTGCCTGCCTGCGAGACGTTGCCGCTGAAGACGGCGACGAGGTAGATGGTCAGCTTGGCGGCGGCCTCGAGGTAGCCCTGCGCGGCCGTCTTGGCGAGGAGGTAGGTTTCCGTCGTGAGGGCGGCGAGGTCGGCGGCGCGGCCGCGCATGCGCACGGAGAGCGTGGGCGAGAGCGGGATGAGGTACTCTGTGAGCTTGGAGGAGGACGCGGAGGACGGGGAAGAGGGGGAGGGGGGTGTGCGCTGTTTGATGATGTAGATGTTGAGGAGGCGGGAGGTTATGAGGGCTATGATGGCGGCGAGACCCCACCCTGGTGCGAATGTCAGTGCATCTGTCTCTCAAGTGTCTTGAAGACCTGAGGTTGAAGATGTCGAGCGAAGGGGGACTCACAATCTCCCAGCAGCACCATCACCGTCACCGCCCCGACCGTAAGCAACGGGCTCGCGAGGTAAAGCAAATGACTCCCCTTCTCAAACTCCCACTCCCCATCCCGCTCCTCAAACGCCCTCCCCTTCCTCCTCCTCCTACCCGTCCCCATTGTGCCGATATCGACCACAATAACCTTATCCTCCTTCCCCGCCCCGGCCCCAAAAGCCTCCACCCCGCCGCCGCCCGCCGCCTTCCTCCGCATCCTCAACTCCTTCTCCCGCACCCGTTGGTCATGCACACCCAGCCTTGACAGGAACATCAACATCCCAGGGTTCGTCACCCGCACATTCTTGAACCCGCCGCCGGGGAGCGCCTCCGTCCCGAACACGCCCTTTCCGCCGCCGCTGTTGGCGTTCCCGCCGTCGAACGCGCGCGAGGTTTCGGCGCTGATGCCGCTGGCGTCGGACCCCGCGACGCCGTCTGCGGCTTGTTGGTAATGCAGCCCCGGCGCGAGGACGAGCGAGTCCCACCAGGAGGAGGTGCCGGTCAGCGCGGTGCGGTGCGCGATGGTTTGGAGGTCTGCGAGGGCGACGAGACCGGCGGCGGAGAGGGAGAGGGAGGGGAGGGGGGTTTTGGGGAGGACGGGGAAGACCATGGCGGCTGAGGAAAAGGGATTTCGCCTCAGCTTCGAGGTTGACGGGAGCGTGGGAGCTTGGGGGTTTAGAGGGAGGTGGTTAGGACAAGCTTATCTATGAAGCGGTTAACTAGCCTCATCCTCCTACACCCACCACTTTTAAAGCTGGGTGGTGGAAGAAGAACACCGGCGCAAGACGGGCCTCGCCCGCCCGATGACGTGTTCTAGATCCCCTCCCTCGCTTTCTAAGACCTATCGTCACAAGATGCGCCAAAGTATGTGAGGGTAAGAAACGAAGGAAGAAACAAAAGGAAAAACACAACTTCCCGAAATCTAGATCAGCTACCCCCCGTGTCTCGCATCTTTTCTTTGACAGGTGCGGTCCGGGTGACCTATCGACAGGGGTGTATCCTGCTGGCGAGCTGACACCAATCTTGCCCACCCGCAGAAGCCGTTCTGCCCACGCGATTACGTGCATGTGGAAGTCGCAACCAAGGTTGGCCTGGTTTGGGGAGATGGAGGGAGGGGAGCGCCAACGGCGTCCCGTCGCAATGTTCCGATGCTACCCCCCACACACAGATTGAGGTTGGCGCATTTCGCGCTAAAGAGCGTTGGAGAAACGCCAACCACCAGCATTCATTGTTGGAGAAGTTCCTGATGGAGGTTTGTGTTGGTGGCGGCTGGCGCCGGGTGTGTGATTGGATTGGTGAGACATCGTGTTCCGATATTGGCTGACTGGGCTGAGAAGACCAGCCTTACGTGGTGACGATAATGGCAGTGCACTATTGATAATGCAGACTGTCAAAACATAGCGTAACATGCACTAAGTCCCGAGGGCAATCACTTGTAAATCTCGCAACGAAATGAACAGTCCACTGCTGACGGGCCTCAACACGTCGAAAGCCCAAAGTTAAATGGGCTTATGGACAGAATGCAGGTCGGTGTGAGTTGACATCTCAGAGGACTAAAATGAGTTTGAATCAAGCATTTAAGAGTGCACCAGCTACCTAGTTCGAAAGCAATATGCATATTAACAGGTCATCAAAAATGCAACACTTTTCTGTACAAATTTCTGGGTTTCCTGATTCAAGTTATTCCTATATTTTTGCAGGCATCGCCTGTACCTGTGCAAAGTCAAAGTTGAACCTGTAGCTACTGCGTGTCCGCCTCTGGTTTCTTTCCGTAGATTGCGTACCTATATGACCACGTCAGTTGCTCCTCAAGACCCCACTGCAAAGGATGTTTCCCCGGCTAAAGGTAGCGCAACTTACCAGGACCAGTAAGCGTGAATGTTACGATCATTGAACTCTTTCCGAACATCAATGAGCAAGACCTGGACCTCTTCCTTCTTCCAGCCGAGAGCTCTTGTAAACGGCGCCATAACCCAACCTTCTATGCCTGAGAGATAGTTGACATTCGCCCACTCGCCAATCTCTTTAAAATGGCTATCCCTTGGCCACGTGTTCGTCGGCCACTTGAACTTCTTGACGTAAAGGTCGACGAACCCGACCTCCTTCATCATATCAACCAGCGGAAGCACGTCCTGGAACGGGCGCCCGAAAACTTTGAGGGCCTCGCCGATGAGGGTGTACGTCTTGTTCAGGGCGGAATCCGTGGGAAGCGTTCCGTCGTCGGACTCGGGCATGAGGTCTACCTCTTTCAGCTCGAGATAGCCGCCAGGCGTGAGGTTGCTGTAAGCTAGGGGTCAGAAAGAAGGATCTGTACGCAGTCGTTCAACTTACTCGTAAGCCTTTTGGATGAACTGTCTCCAGTCGGAGATACTAGAGTTCATCATTCGAGAATGGATGTAGTCAAACGGGCGGCTGTAGATCCAGGGCTCGTCGATGTCGTCTACTTCGAAGATGACGTTGGGAGGGACCCTAACAACTGTCAGACTTCAGCTGTGCGAGGGTTCTGCAATGAAGGGTTTACTCTGCTTGAGGAGGTGACAGGTCCACTCCAAGAACCTAAGGCACAAGTTAGCATGTTCAGATGGCTGCGAGGACTAATACTCTGACAAACCTCGGCCTCAGGATGGGCTTCTCCAAATTCGATTGCCCACAGGCCAGTCCCGGTGCCGACATCTAGGACACGATGAACGCCGGAGTCTTTGTCATTAGGTGGTGCCACACCAAGCTTCCCGTCAAGGCAGAGATCGAACATGTGATGCTGCAGGTCTGGTGATAAAAAGGCACATCTAGGTCAGACGATAATGCACAGATATCCGGGCTGCCCACTTCACCAGGGCCGCTTACCCAGTCTCTCAAGTTCCCTGTCATCATTGGGATATTGGTATTCTACCATTGTCAATGATGCGAATATTCTGTTGGTCCACACGATGTGAAGGGAGTCTCACTGCCTTCCTTGTATCGGTGATACGTGCGTCCATTCTCGAGGCGATAGTTATAGATCGATTCCGACAAACTCGTTCTTGAGGAAGCGATGCTCTGCAGCTAGTTGAGAATTTGAACGTTGAACACAGGGAAATCGTAACTCACGCCCCCAAGGTCAGATGCTGCGTCGTCGACAGGTTGCTACCGAAGGTTAGACAATGTCCGTATTCCAATTCCAAGGCTTCACTCAGAACCTCGTCATCAGGCACGATCTGCTCCTCCTCCGTGGGCTGAGCGCCAGTCGCAGTGGGTTGAGCTGTGGGCGAGGCTGCAGACGGCGTGGTCGCTGCGGGTGCAGTACCCTCGGCCGTTGAGGCGCTTGCGTCGTTGCTTGCAGACATTCCGGTCTCCTCGTGGGGTTTATGCAAGGTCGGGATACTCAGTGTCTGGAGTGCCAATAATTTTGTGAAAAAAGGAAAGAGAACCTGCCGAGAACATGCTGTTTTTATGTGTTCACCAACATGCCTGTCTACCCCTCTCCTTGGCTGGAGACAACCATGCACGTTGGTGGTAAAGATGCAGGCCGTTGCATTTGGTGTTGGACTCATCCACCCGCCGTCCAGAAGAAGGCTGTTCCGTCGGTTTATTGGCTCCACTCTCTTGCGTCTTCGGATGTGTCTTCAACAGATAAGGCAGTATGGGTCACTATATACACACGAGAATGGCTCAGGTATGTACCTCGTGCATAGGCGAGCCGGGTATGAGGTCCATCGCCAACCGTAAAACAGAACTGGGACAAGGGTTCAAGTCTTGCTCGAAGAGTGTCGTTCCACTTCTCCCTCCAAGCGTTAAGCGAGCCACTGAATGTCAACACAGACGGCAGCAGCAGCGATTTCGCTGTAGCCCGCGTCACGAAATGAAGTTTATATGTAGCCCTACAAAGACTATTTTTGAAGTAATCGTCGACGTAGACGCATGGCTGTATCTTTGGATTTATCGTCCAAAGAACGTCCTGAGACATTTTCCTGTGCATAAACTCGTTGGTATAACTTGGTCTGAACCTCTAAATAGTAAGTGGTGTTTCATTTTTATACGCCGTAATTGCAATCCTCCTTTTCAGCGAAGGCATTCTTTTTTCGCTAAGAGCCCTATTTTCGCACAGGAAAATACGTTTAAATACTTTTGTAACGAGGCTCTTTCGTGAACATCAGTTCTATGAAGCTACATCAATGTTGAGGGAAGGGTCAACAATTACGCAAGAAACTACGTGTACTTGGAAAAGACGACACATGATGTAGAGAATTTTGAACCGAGAGAACTCCATCGACGGTTTCTCTCAGTAAACAACTTTACCCATGGTTCCGGTTCTTCGGCTGTACCTCACGACTCTTGTCCATCCACCTCGGGTTTCTTCCCATAAAGCGCATACCTAATATTTCGTCGTGTTAGCTTTGAGACGGAGTTTGCGGGGAGGCCGCCGCCTCTCAAAAGCGGCAAACGTGCAAACTTACGCCGGCCAATACGCATGGATACTGCGATCCTTGAATTCCTTCCGGAGCTCAACCAAGAAAGCCTGAACCTCCTCCTTCTTCCACCCAAGTCCTCGGGTCAAAGGGGCCATGGTCCAGGCTTCGATACCAGACATGGAGTTCTCGTGCGCCCATTCGCCGAGGAGCTTGTATCGAGGGTCTGCTGGCCAAGTATTCGTGGGCCACTTTACCTTTTTGATATGAATATCGATGAATCCGATATCCCTCATGACATTTACAAGATCTGGAATATCCTGAAAAGACCGGTTAAGCACGGTAGCGGCTTCCCCTAGTAGCGCAAAGCACCGGACAATAGCAGCATCCGGCCTCAAGGTGCCGTCGTCGGACTGAGGCATAAGGTCTATCTCCTGGAGCTCGAGGTATCCTCCTGGCGTAAGGTTGCTGTTTCATCTGATTAAAATGTTGTTTCGTGCAGTCTACAGAGGTAGTGACAAAGAAAACACTCACTCATAAGCTCTTTGAACCAATTGTTTCCAGTTCGAAATGCTGGATGTCATCATTCGGCTGTGGATGTAGTCGAATGGTCGAGAGAACAACCAAGGCTCTTCGATATCATCGACCTCAAACCGAACATTGGGGGGCACCCTGTCAAGAATTAGAGACGTATGCGGTGAGTTTCTAGGCGAAATCATACTCTGCCTGCGGAGGAGATAGGTCCACTCCTATGATCTGCATGAGGTTTTGAGTTGAGTATATGAAAGAAGAAATATCATCAGGTTCTGATTACAGACCTCTGCTTTCGGGTGAAGGTCGCCAAATTCGATGGCCCAGATCCCGGTTCAGGTTCCCACATCAAGTACGCGTTTGACCTTAGAACCCTCTTCATTTGGAGGTGAGAGACCGAGCTTGCCTTCCAAAGTAAGAAGGAACAAGTGATGCTGCAGATCTGGGAAGGCCGTCAACAACATCCAGCAGAGAAGAAAGGGTCGCCCGTTCCACTCAACCGCGTACCTAATCTGTCGTTTTCCCTCTCGTCATTAGGGTAGGAATATTCTGCATCGATTAGCAAAACTAGTCCAGGGAAGTGACTAGAATAGCCTTCTTTGTGCGGGAGATTTACTTCCGTCTTTGTACCTATGGTACGTGCGACCGTTTTCAACGCGATAGTTGTAAATTGATTCTGCCAAGCTGGTCTTCGAAGACGCAATGCTCTGCCGAAAAGCAGTGAGTGGGTTGTTCAACAAAATCTTTACAGAGGACAGCTAAACACTCACGCTGCCAATATCGGACGCCGCATCGTCAATATCCTGGGCCTGAGGCAATCGATCAGATCAAGCTGTAGGGCCCGAGAGATGGGCGCGCAAGTTACCTGGGGATCGACCGCGATTTGTGGCTCATCGGCAACTTGGATGTCTCCAATCCCAGGCTGGGAACCAGCCGTAGCAGTGGGAGCTGCAGCTGGCGTTGGTGAGAGTGTGTCGTTTGGTGCCGACATTTCGATCGTCAATGTGTGCAGGAAGCTATGACCTGTCCAACTTTTCTCACGTTCTGTGAAGAAGATGGAGAAAACGAGTCCAACAGCGAGCTTTTATCTATCCAATATTTTCCTTTACCCCTCTCCTTGGCTGTAAACAATCATGCAGGTTGGCGGCAAAGATGCAACATGCCCATGCAGCTTGTGTTGGAGCGAATGTCCAGAAGTAGACACTGGACCACGTTTGGCCCATTTTCCCCACCACCCCTGATATTTACGGTGTCTCGACCGTTCCAGAGGCCATGCTTCCGTCTGCGTAAGAATTTCAAAGCCTTGGGGCTTTTGGAAGAAGTGGGTTCCTTGCCTCAATATTTTCAGAGCCTCACGGCTTTCTATCATCAAGGATCCTGACACTCTCCTCTATATCGCTGTACTAACCAAGACGGAATAGAGAAATGAGACTTGACGCGACGCTTCTTCCTTGATATAACCTGAAAGCAAGTCAGATCAAAAATATGGGAGGGAGCTCTCACAGGCGTTCAGGATACCAGCTCGGAGACCAGGGTCAGCCACTTTTGTTGCGAGGCAGTAATACCCACATAACCGAGCTGGGAAGGCGATCCGCCGCATAGAACCCCGCATGTAAAGAGCAGGCACGAAGTGATGCGCAGGAATCTGGATTTTCACCGTGACATGCGCCTCTTGATTGTCCGTGCAGATGTAAGCTTCATTGCGGAAACCATCCTATCAGCATCAAGAAAGCCACATGCACAGCTTCTGAGACAATACACCATCAGTATTTCAAATCGAAAGATACGTAGTGTTGTTCCGTTTCGACCCTCAAATACAACAATTACGTCATATCATCACTTTTGAATTGCAAGCTACCTACATGGATCTCAATACCATCAAATGCAGACTTCAAGACGGATGCCTTTTACCTTCTGCGAATAAGAGCCCAGCCATCAAAGCCAATCAAACTCGAACGTGCCTTGCAGTGCCTCCAGTGATACGTGTTTGAAAGAGACTTGTGTGGAACTTCACGCAAGCTTGTACCTGCCGATGGCATCAACGCCCGTGGTAGTAACGGCTGCGACTCACAGGTAGTGAAAGGTCTGGAGGAAAAGCACAGCTGCTTCCAATGACGAGAAGTTTCCTTAGGGTTCCAGCTTCGTTCTTCCCATCCTCTTTCACAAAATTCCAGCACACACTAACAAAGGAAGGAGGAGGAAACAAGGGCAGGTTCCAAAGAAGCTCTAGAAAGACTGATTTTGAAGCAATAATCAACACAGGAACATGATTCTTTCGCAAAATCCATCGTCCTCAGAAAGGCCTTGAGAATGCTCCTAAATACTTTGTTTCATGTAAAGTTACTAAAATAATTCGATGTAAATCTTCGAAAAGTGGCGTTCATTCTGAGACGCCTCCTGAGCGCAAAACCCAACCAATCATACATGCAAAACTATTTGGTCGCTTGCGAGGAGAATTTCAAATGTCTAAGGGATCACTGGATTGGAGCATGCTAGATATGGTGTCTTGAGTGCTGCTTAATATTAACGGATAATCACTTGAGTAGCTTATTCATGAAAGCTCACAGTCGTTCATGGGGTTGGTACTGTCGGTGCAAACGGGGACGCAAACAGACTCGGCACAGAAACGCATTGCTCCTTCCAAACAAATTATAAAATTCTTCGAGGGGTCCTTCCTGTTAAATCTATTTCACCTCACCATCACAACATCTTTTTCACCCACAACACAAATCCCACCCACCCTTCTTTTCATCACCACTCCACCTTGCAATTTTCACCTTCACAACGTCCCCTCCTCCCACCCACACAAGCCGCCATCTCGAGATTTTCGTCACTCGAGATGGCTCCCACCGGCGCGAGCTCCATTTCGGAGCTCTACAAATCCTACAAGAAGTTGACGAACTGCTTCTTGAGCTGGCTCTGGTGCCAGCATCGACTCAAAGCATCCAGCGACTGCAGCCTGAATTTCAGATCCACCATCGACATTCTGAAAACAGCCAAGGTTTTGCAAAAGGCCAAGACCACCGTCCCAACCTCCGTGATCGGTTTCCTCCGAAGTGCCATAGACAAGCGCAAGCTTGTGGCTGGCATTTACCAGCACTTTGGCGCCGGTCACGATGGACACGACGCGTTCAATGACAGGTAGTGGATTGACCTGAGTCACATGAGTGAGTGCTAATAAGTAGCAGACTCGAGGAAGTTCTTTCCACACTCACTCCTCTGATGGAGGTATTGCCAGCTCCTCTGATGGACACCCCCGACGCAGAAAATTTGGCGTCATACAACCGGTTCTCTCACCTCCCGACGGTCGAGTCTGAGCCTGACGACCAGAACGTCTCCGTCGAAATCGGCCACAAGCATTCTGGCTCGCCTTTGTCCTCTTCTCATACCACGAATCAAGCGAACAAGTCTGACCCGCCGTCCGACTTTTACTTGGAAGACGATCACATCCGGGAGTTATTTGACGCGGCCTACTTCCTGATAGTGAGTGCTATTTTCCTCCCAATGAAATCGCTGGTTTTAGCTGACGCAATCTCAGGAGCTGGACAGAGTGTACACACTAGTCAAGAAATGCTGGGCCGATGCATCCCGCGGCAACATACCTTTCCCCTTGGCGACGTGGATGACCAACTTTGCCTTTTGCTCCATCAGCAAAGGAATGCCGCCGAAGTTCGTCCATGTTTGCGTCAACATGAGTATCCACCCCGAGTCCACCTGCGAATTCTTCTCCAAGCTCTCCGACAAGGTCGATCCGAAGACTTTCCTCTCAGATGCGCGTCGCTTTTACATGCTCGCCCAGACCGTAAACGACTACGGCAAGACGCTTTGTGACGCACCAAAGCTCAATATCAACATCAGGAGCTGCATGAAGGACGATCCTAATTGCGAGTGCAAATTCAGAACCTCTCACGACGATTTGCCTACTGGCGGTCTCAACGGAGAAGAGCTTTCCGAGTCCGAAAAGGCGACCATCCGGTTCGTTTTCAACATTGCACGTGCCGACATCGAAACACCACGGGCAATTAGTATGTTGGAGGGTCTGGATTACCTAAAACCATCCAAGTGTACATGCTATACGCAGATCTGCGATACATTCTTCGCTATGGCCAGATGGTTCTTTCTGCAAAATGAACTTCTGGCTAACTCACGACTCGTCGCAGGCCTTAACGTGTACTTTCTGGTTGAGAAGTCAGTCACGGCTTCGGACATCGTCATCCCACGGTCGCATTACCGTTCGATGTCGCACAATCTGGCCGTGGACATGCGAAGAAGTGTCAATCAAGTCTTGGGGACCGTCAAAGTTATGGCTCCGAACTGTGAGGACGCCACCATGTGGCAATGCTTGCTCCTCGAGCTTTGTGATGGGCTCACAGCCTATATCTCCGAGGAAAAGTTCGACACCTACCATACGTCGCCATGGACAGCTGGCAGCGAAATGTTGGAAATGCTGAACGTGGCTTTTGACTACGGTTTCCGAATCAACTCGAACTGGGCAGTTATTTCAGCTACCTTGCATCTGTACAACGCCATGCGCCGGTCCATCGCCGACACCCCGAGAATACCTGTCTTCGAAGAACTCTCCCAGACGCTCCTGTCAAGCGTCTTTGGGGGAAACTTGCCAGAAAGAAACTTCTGTTCCATCTTTCGTCGCATTGTGTACGACAGCAGGGTTGAGAAGACCGACGTTCCGCGTGGCAAAGGAAAGGCGTACCGCCTGGAAGCTGGACTTCTACAGCTGCCGTGTTGGATGGACATCCAATGCCGTTTACTTGACCGTCACGATTGGAACTACAATGACAGCATTCCCTTTCAGGGAGATGTTCTCGGCATCCCTTGCCCGTCTGCCACCAGAGAAAAGGCATTCCACAAGATCACAGATGCTCGTGCGAAGCTTACACTCACTGAATATCTGGAGAAAGTCAAAGACATGGTTTCTCTGGACATTGAGGGACCCCATCCAATCGCCCGCATCAACCTATTTGATGTATTCACCCTGTGCAGCAAATTCCTCAGCAAGCTGGGTAGCCTCGGCAAATCGCGCATACCCAAAGATGTTTGGTCATCATTCGCCCGCGCTCAGCTTAGAAATGGTCTTGTTGTTGGCCGCTGTGATGCGGAGTTTTTGATGGAGGCCATCGACGAATGTCCGGATACCAGACAAGGCCGCCGTATCCTAGAAAAGCTCTGGCTAACCCGCAATGCTATCCAGGCCTTCAAAGAGATCGACCCGGAGACAACCTTGTCACAACACATGTGGAATATCTGAGGGGGGCGAATCAGGCTGTAGTGAACAGCATTCAGACTTCTATTCCCCGAGACTTCTCCTTCTTTTTCAATGTCGCAATTTGCAAATTCACGAAACTCTTGGTAGTCAGTCGGAACTCAGGACAAATTGGAGAGGAAAGATGGAAGAACGTGTTTGGGGTACGGAATTGTATAAAACAAATTGTACTGATTAGAGCATTCGCCCTGTCATTGGCTCATATGTCCATAGAAATATTTACATGAAACTCCTATCTAAAGCCAATCACTTCTTGAGGACGCAGTTGTGAGGGTTGCCGGTGCCGTCAGGCTTGAGCTTGCCTCCAATACCGCAGAACTTAAGGTCCTTGGTGTAGTACACCCGCATGGGCCCAGGGCTGTTGCTGCTGCCCTTCTTCGCGTTGTAATCGTACGGCTTGCCGCTCTTGAGAACAGGCAGCTCCCATACGTCACTGCCGCAGCCGCTGGCAAACTTCATCACGTTGCCCTGATTACCGAATGGCTTGGGGTATCCGCTCCCAGTCCCGGTCTTGGTCTTTGCATCGCGGAAGAAGCCGATGGCCTTGTCCTGGCTGATTTCGCCGTAGAGGACGCCGTCGTTGTTGGCGCCGGCTTTGCAGATGTAGACCTGTTGTTTAAGTCCGCGTCAGTGTGCTGATAGTATCAGGTTGTGTGTGCTATGGGTCATACCTGGCCGGCACGAGCTTCGAGGGAGAACTCTTCGTTCGGGTTGGGAACGGGGCTGGCGATGGCGACCGAGGCGGCAAGGAGGCCGAGGAAGTATGTGTAGGCAACCATTTTGAGAGATTGAGGATCAAAGACAAATTGTTTGTTGTGAAAGTTGCTTGGAGGTTTGTTGAAGAGTGTGAATTGTTGAGTCTGATGATTTGGAAACTGTTGTGGTGTTGAGGACTACATTATATACCATTCCAGCCGCCATCAATTACAGAACTTTACATGAACCACCCTTAGGCAACCCCGAGAATCATCGGAACACTAGGCAAAGTGCAAAGGGATTTCTGTTCCTAGACCCACGAGCAGCTACCGCACAGAAACGGAGAAGACGAACTGAAGGATTGATCGGCTGTGGAGAGCTAGACTGCATGTCAGACGTTGTGTGTAACCCAATTCATACATCAGGCTATGCCGTTGCCCGAGTGTGGCTTGCAATCGAGCGCATTCGGGATACTCTCTCAGGGGCAGGCATTAGACGCATAAGTTTAAAGCGAATTACTGGGGTTGTAGTCGGCATCGAATAGCCGTGGGCGTGCGGTCTAGCTTCTCTTAGTCAAGTCCAATTGCGGATGGCAGCAAAGGAGTGATCGTCTGTGGGGGAGCTGGACCGCATGTCAGCTCCCATGACTAACCTAATCCGCAGGGAAGGCTATGCTGTAGCCTGATTCGTCGTGGTCTAGGTTGCTCCAAGACGTTATGATCACTTTATTCGGGACTTTCAGGCTTCAGAATGACATTCGTAGAGTTGAGCAAGGCTGACTTGAAAATGTACTCGCGAACAAAAAGACCATGCAGGTTGCACCGCTGAACATCGCCATTTCCAACTTGTGGGTAACAATTGCGGGTTACCGGGGTATGTCAGTCGAAACTGTCACCTTTGAGGGAATGATGCTCACAGGATGATGACAAGAGTCTCACGAAAGCCTTCTCATGACCGTTTTTGTCTTATCTTGGAAAGGGAGGACGGGCAGAGCTGGGCAGAGCTGGGCAAAGACAAGCTCCGCTTGAGGTCGGCAATGTCTCTACGTATCTCGGTTTCTAGACCTAAGCCACAGGGTCTCGAATCCTTCCTTAATGGACGGAAGGAGAAAGTAGCTGAAAAGCGATGTTAATGGACACAAGTCGGCTTGACAAATGTGCTACTGTCAGATCCTACGGCTAAAAGATCCGTGGGAAGACGGGTCTCACCGGGGGCGCGGGGCGCAGAACGCGGGCCGGATTGAAGCTAGTCTATTTTTAGGCGGGGCAGTTGCACGGCGGGTCCCGCGCCCGCCGCCCCTCTAGGCAGCTGCTTCCCCAACTTACATCGCAACTTCGTCATACTCTAATCAGGCTACCTCTTACCCAAGTCGTTTATTCAGAAGTTCTATCACCTACCAACAACCTTGACTACTATCACTTCTTCACATCACATTTCTCTTACAACCTTGAACAACAACAGTGCACCACCACGTACCCACCTCAGCCCAACATGTCTGGCGTCCAGCTACAGATCCCCGGTGACGCACCAGCTTTTGCTGGTCAGGTAGTCGAGATATTCAACTCCGTACTGGGATCGTCTTCACAAAAGCTGTCATCAGAGGATGCAGCCAGAGAAATCGACGAGTTGTTCAGTCAACAGTACCAAAAAGACGGCACGGCAGGTTCATTCCTCTGGTGGTTCTGGGACTTGGTACACGATCTTGCGATGCAGATCCCCTACAACAGCCAGGAGCAAGAACAACTCACAGCTGTCATCAAATCTCTACATGACCTTCCCCCAAAGACAGTAAGCTTGGGTCAAGAATGGGGCTCTGACGGCGCCGATTCTGTTCCTGTCTGGACGGGCCTGCCTATGTTTGGCAACACCTTCCGCGAAAAGCTCGATACTGGTAAGTAATGTCAGCACGCATGTGGTAATGATGATGTCTGACATTCTTCGAACTTCAGTGAATTTGCAGACTTCCGCAGAACAGGATAAGCAAAAAGCCGTCAATCTCCAGGCCTATGCTGCAAGAGTAGAAGGACTCGGCCTTGTGCCGTTTGAGATGTACGCGATCTGGGCTTTCGTCGATGCCTTGGAGGGCACGATGAAGCCCATTCGAGGTGGCCCGGATGAGATCGACTCAGACCCTTCTGCCGTACCGGACATCTCCTTCAAAGTCGCGATTGCTGCGAACTGGATGAAGTACGCTGGCCACCGCCTGTACGGACGGGACGAAGAGGTGCATGGAGCTACGGCCGGCCCGCTTTGGAAGCTGGACAAGAAGGAGGCGGCGAAGCTGCGTCGAAAGCTTCGCGGAACCGATGGACTCTGCCCGGAAAGATGGGCTCTATGGAAGGAGAGGTTCGCGGCCATTCGGGATGCCCAAGGTGTTGATGATGCCGCCCGCGACAATGCAAAAGCTGCATTTGATGTGATGGAGGAGATTGAACAGGGTGGCAAGTGACACATAGATAGTATTGTCATGAGGCTGGGTCTGTAAAAGACCTCAAGACACTATGTATTTATACCACTACTGGAGATGAAACAAAGTCATTCTCTATTCCAAGTGTTTTCATATGGTAATTTCTGGATTTCGAGGACTTGAAGGAACGGAAAGGTGCACGTACCCAGCATATCCTATCTGTGGCCAAACCCCGCAATCGAGGAGGCTAGTTGAGCTGGTAAGAAATGAATGGGACCAGCAAAGTATCAAAGGCACAGAGGCACAAAGGCATCAAAAGGGCCCGGATAGGGTCTATGAACGTTATGACATTGATGACTTACAACTTGGATAGTTTGGATGTCAATAAGGCCCCTGCCACCACCTGGCACCAGATGAGAGACCGTACATATACAGCTGGCCACTTTCTTTCAGAGTGGGGTAATATCACCCTTGCGCCATCGCACGGGCTCGCTCACATTTCGAACTTCTTGAACGGTCACCTCACACTCACCTGCTGCACCAACTGTCGTCGTTCGCACGTTCCATGAGATTCGAGAGACTCTCGCGATGGAGACCTCAACATACATCTTCCTGGCAGTCGCCATCTTCATAATCGGTCGCGTAAGTGACCCCAAGGCCACGAAGCCGTCCGACCGTCCCTACCGCCTGTCGTAGGCTACGGATTGCTCTCGCCATCGACCTCACCCGTATCCCTGCTAATATCCCATCAAGATGCTCTTCGCCGACCGCTCGCCCATCCCCGAGACATCCGGCAAGGTCTACAAGCTCACCAGCCAAGCCGAGCTGGACGCGCTCCTCTCCTCGACCAAGCACGTCATCGTCGACTTCTACGCCGACTGGTGCCCGCCCTGCCGCGCCATCGCGCCCGTCTTCTCCGAGTGGGCCGACAAGCACGCCGCTGAGGGTAGTCTGGCTTTCGCAAAGGTCAACGTCGACCACGTTAATGCCATCGCTAAGACGTACAACGTCACTGCCATGCCCACCTTCGTCTTCTTCCGCGACGGCAAGCCCCAGGGCGTCGAGGTCCCCAGCCTGAAGCCCCGTCAGTCTGTGAGCTTCACTAGCGAGGGGCTGGTTGATCGGGTGAGGGGTGCGGACCGCGCCGCGCTGCAGGCTGTTGTCAACGCCTTGGCTGGACCGCAGGAGGGTGCTAAGAAGGAGTGACGGAGGACGGACGTCTGAGAAGGTGTTGTGCTTCGCGCTTGTGGCTAGCTTCGCTATGTCACGGATTCGCACCTGGAGGCTACTAGTTGTTACGCAGTAAGGTGCGGTATGAGAAGAACCGAGAGGCCCTTTGACGGGGGTATTCTACAGGGAAATCTCAAGTTTGTCCTCGGTAAAGGAACCTGATACCTGGCTCTTGAGGCTTACCCTAGTTCATACATAAACACTGGAGAAGGGCGTCTGCTTTCTTGTTAAGTAAGCATGATTATCCAGCAGTAATTGAGCAGAAATTTTATCTAAAGTGGCGCCTGGTTGCGTATATCAATATCTCTAATCCCGAATATCGCTTTCTTCGAAATCACCGTGATGTACGTACATGACATAGTACCATGAGAGAACGCCAGAAGTCCTGCACAGTAATAATACTCGGGTATCTGTGTCTAATGAAACATCGCAAACTCAGGAATTACTATTAGGGTACTATTAGGGTAATTACATGTGGTACCGTGAATAGGCCGAGACCTATCATCAATGCAAATCCAACTCAGCGTGTATACCCTCCCTCTTCCTGCTCGTAGTTGAAACCCCCGTCATTTGTTGACGACGAATACGTTTTAAGCCGGGCAACAATATGTGTAAGCCATGTTGACGTAAGGGTCAACTGTCCACTGTTCCAAGCATCGATGGCCCTTTCTGCGACGAGACCAGCTACATGAGGGATCGGCTGGAATACCTCATTCAACAGGACAATCATCACGACCAGCCCGAGAATCTTAGCGACGGGAATTTCCCAGTCGTCGCGAAGTTCTCTCAAGTCGTCCAAATTTACTTCCATGCCAATTTTGACACTGTTGTCAACTAGGTGCTGGCTCAATTTTTGTCCCATCAGCGACCCAGGGACCAGAGCTCCGTTTACTGCATTGTCTACCTTGGAGATTGTTGGATGGTCGATTTGAAATTGCTCGGGCCTTGATATGTTTTCTAACAGTCCGCTTGGGATAGGCTTCTGGGTGGCGGCGCTGGCGGTGGTACTGGAGTCGGTCCCATGGCTAGGCTCGAAATGGGCTGTTGCTGGTGCTTCGGGCTGGTCGATGATTGCAGTAGTAGCTTGGATAGTTGCTGGATAATCAGCCGGACAGTCGGCAGCCAGAGTATTGACGAGTGTGTCAACGATAGTTGTGGTGGTGGGACATAGAGTGCCGGTGCCGATGGTATCTTGGCACGCTTCCATGAGGTTGGGAAACTGAAGCTCCGGATATTGAGAGGTCGGTGTGATATGACTGTCCACAGGGCAAGTCTGGGCTGCGGAGGTAGCGACGAACTCAGTCCCCAATCCCACAACTTTCTCACCGAAACTCGATGCGAAGCTGTCCGCGATGTTGCTGAAACCAATAATGCCCATTGTCGCCGTCATGAAAGCGGCTTTAAGTGTGCAGCCCACCACAACGTCCACCACCGGGTGGTGGCGTTTCTTCTTTTTGTAGTCCTCCTCGTCGTTTCTGAACGACTCATCCACCAATCGACGGCGCTTGATCTCCTTCCTGACTCGGCTGAGATTTTGAGACGATATGCACAGCTGCCAAGTGTTGAAGCCAACGGACACGGCGAACAGGGGGCAGCCAGTAGTGAGCCCAGACGATATGACGACACCAAAGACGGACCCAGATACCGCTCGTGTTGTGCTTCCACCAAACACCAGCAGCTCCCGATGACTCAGCTTTTGGATGTTCTCTTTGTTAAGGTGACGATCCAGTATGATATTGAAATTCTCTGCCAGCCAACGGGGTGATTTGTGGGCATCTTTTGCTAACCACTTGCATCTTTCTTTGAATGCTTCTCGACGACGGAGTGGAACATCAGATACTTTATCCGAAAGTTTATCGCTCAGTATAGAGGTAATGTCCATGGTGACTCGAGGGGAGCAAGAGGGCAGAGAGGGTGCAACAATGCTTGGACCACCAGCACTTCGAGGCGGAAGGAGGAAAGAGGCTGAACGTGTGATCAACATCAATACAGAAATCAAAAACAGACAGCTCTGCTGTAGATTCAGCCCGAATAATATAGATCCGGCGGCCTGTGAATTATATATCATATACTTTTGGTGACAACTTACATGTTGTCGGCCTATGCGAACGGAACACGCATGTGATCAGAGAGAGTTTGTGCGAGACTGCAATAAAGGAGCCCAAAGTTCCGTCACTAAGCTTAGATAAGGCCGAGAAAAAGTGCAGTCAAACGTCCCAGGCAAGCTCGACACCATTTTAAGTCCAGGACGGGGAATTCGGTGAAACATACGGTCGTCCAAGGCAGGTTTCCATTGTAAACGTTGACAAGAACCAGCTGACCACAAGGAAAGAGAAGGAATCTTCCAATCGGTTACTGGTTCCAGGGCTAGGTGAAGTTGGCCGGGCCAAACTCCAGCCTGTCAGCCTGCCGAAAAGCCTGACGATGCTCTTGATCTGTTACGCCTTCCTGATTAGCAACACCAAGGCCAACGATGAACAGATGCTGGCCAATGAACCTGGCGCTGAGAACGGCCGCGTTGAAGACTGGGACAACATTAGTGACCTGGCCACCAAAATTTAGATTTTGGTTACACAAAGCGGGTGCGACCTTCAACGTCGAATGTTCCAGCCACCTAGTGTGTACGAGGACGTGGCGCCTCATTGAGGTATGTGGCAGATGTGGGAGCCTACACGGCAAGCAAACATGTTCCCCAGCTTCCGAGGAGGCCTCTTTTTGATCGCATACAACCATTATTGCAGCGAAGTCGGCGCTCGGCCGAGTCTATGTTGGTCCACTAGCCATAGTTTACTGACTGTCGGCGAACACAGCGACGGAAGTCTGATGAAGAGCAAGCATCGGAGTTGCACCCCGCAGAGAAAGCAACCGAGAAAATGGATGAACGCCGAAGGAAGGACGCTGAACTCGAGAAGAAGCATCATTATGCTTGCCACGTCACAACGCCGATGAGCTCGTACGACGCGAAATCTTGTGCTAGTGGTGAGAGGCACAGACCAGAACCTCAGCACGTCGTTGTAGCACTACCAGCCAACACAGGAGGAAGCATCCATCTGTGATATGACATTACTTTCCCAAAAATTTACTACCTCCGTATTCCAGGTAATTGAAAGGAGGATCTGAAGCAACATCCATCCCCTCGTGGCCCACAACCCGGGATTCAATCTGCAAGCTGCCAGAAGTAACCAGAAGCAGCTATGCATGGCCCCCCTACATCTGCCTTTAAATTCTGCCAAGCCCAACTTCCGTCTTTTGATCTATTCGAGGTACCATGTGGTACTCCTTGTTAACCTGGCAAGGAATCGGCCAAAAAAAAAAAAAAAAAAGGCTGGTCGTTTCTAGAAACGTTTAGTAAAGGGTACTATTACAGCTGCAATCAACTGGTGCGCAGACAGACATATCTCATGAAACCCTCTCTCGACACATGGCTTCTCTGCTCCCCGCTTACTTGGCCTATGAGAAAAAGGAGAGAAAGTTTGGATGCCGCACCAATGAAGGCCTCCAATACGTCGCTTTCGCGATCTTGGCGTGGCACCTTTATTCATTTCGGACCTTTAACTCCATTGCAACTGCTTGGCTATGATCGCGTGGCCTTATTGCTTTTGGAAGCATCATTCTTCAGAGTAACCTTCAGACTGAGCCGTTGTAAAGTGCTAGTGGGCTCCAGAGGGACGTGAAGCTACCAGCCGGTTGACATATTCTCCATGTCACCTTTAAGACCGGCCAAGATCCAATGGAAACAGTCAAGCTTACAACCCCATCTTCGTCAGCTCCTCCTCCACCACCTTCCCCCAAGCCCTCTCAGTCTCCCTACTCTCCCTCCAAAGCTCACAAATCGCCCTCACATGGTTCACAACCAAATGCACCCTCTCCTGCACCGCCGTATACTTCACCCCGTCAACAACATCCTCCCCAATCCCCCGTTCCCTACAAACCTCCCTCGCCCACCCCCTCATCCGATCCCTCTCCCTCCTCGCCTCCTCCCCCTCCCCTCCCCACGGATACAGAAACGCATTCGGCGGATCCCACCTTGGCCCCGGCACAACCCCGCCAAACTCCCAATCCAACACCCCCGTCACCGTCCCATCAGCCTCGTCCACCATCACATTCGCGAGGTGCAAATCCCGATGCGCGAGCACATACACCGTATCCCCCATCTGCCGCTCATGTTCCTCCTCCCTAACCCACGCCCGCAACCCCTCCAGGCGCGGCACCAGCCCCCTCGCCCATTGCAGGTCCGCATGCCGCCTGATGACGTGCACATACCGCCCCAGCGCCGCGTCCACATGCTCCCCCCACGAGGTGAACGGCCCGTCCACGGGATTCAGACTCTCCACCGTCTCCCCCGTGCTGGCCCAGAACCGCTCCACCATCGGCGCCATCCAGAACCACTCGTCCACCACCGGGCCCGGCACGATCTCCCCGGCCTCGTCGACCCTCAACCCGCCGACGTGCTTCCACCGCGACTTCTCCCTTAGCTCCGCGAGATACCCCACCAGCTGCTCGACAACCCTCCTCCTGACTTCATCGCCCATCCCCCAAAACACCTTATCAGCACTACACCCCCGCACCCTCTCGAGCAAACTAAACTCGCACCCGAGCACGTTCTCACACCCGCTGTCCCACCGCACGACCGCCGGCACAGGCACGCTAGTGTTCTCCCTCACCCAGCGCATCATCGCGATCTCGTTCTCCGTCTTGATGCGCGGGAGGTGGTCGCCCGACACGCGCAGCACGAGCGTGACGCTGCCGTCATCATTTGGTCTGGCGGGCGCCAGCGCGGGCGCGGCCGAGGCGGGGAAGTGGAGCAGGTAGATCCGGTGGAAGGCGGCGGTGACGGTCAGCGGTTCGGTGGATGTCGGCGCGGGCAGGCCGAGGGAGGCGGCGAGGCGGAGGATTGTGGCGGGGGCGTGCGGGGACGGGAGGTGCGATGCGGGGTCGTCCATTTTGTAACTTGTTCGCAAGCCCGAGTTCTGCGGATGTTGTTGGTGTGATGTTGATGTTTATATGAAGAGCGCCCGTAAGACGTGGTTCCAGGAATTACCGCGTGAGATTCTTATACGTCCGGCTTACCTCCCAGAATGTTATCTACAACTCGCACCTGCCAGTAAGACACTAGTCCCGGCACACCGGGCCCGAGAAAACAACGGGTCCGATCGGCGCTGTCCCGATGAATCATCCTGCATACATCCATCCCACACCACCACCCGGAGTCATCCAGTCTTCTGGCGTGTGTCCTCGCACAAACACAGTCAGCCGTCCCAACAGGTGCGGTGCGTCACACACACACACCAATAAACTCAAACCACCTAATCTAACGAACACCACCCTTTCGCCCTTTTCCTCTTCACCAACCCTAACCCCTGACCACCTTCCTCCACCACCGGCACGAGTCGTCGGCCAGGTTTCAAACCATCCGACTGACAACCACCCCAACCTAATTCTCACAAACAACGAACCCCCTTGTTGAGAACGACGGAAAAGACGGAAAAACAGCAAGCGTATCCCAAAAGTTCCCAACCTTCTCGTTCTCGTTATCAATCAGATCAAATTCATGCAGCGCCAAAAAAACAGCGAGATAACCCCGGCCTCGCAAAAGTCCCCGTGCCCAAATCTGCTTCCTCCCGTCACACCTAATCAACATAGGGCTGCAGCATCAACAGCCGCTTAATCTATCTCTAATCAACCTTCCGCATCCTCATACCGACAGGGCCAAAGGACGCAAACACAACACCTCTTGGCTTAATCGGCACTTTCACATCTACCATCTTCCACATCACGGCTCTCAGAAAACTCGACCAACGGAAACCCCTAGCCAACAACGTCCCACGGACTTTCAGGCCGTCCCACCGCAACGGCCAACTTTGCGCCGCCACCACGACTCGCACCCAAACCCATCCGTAAGCAAGCCCACCCCTGCAATGAGCCGCCTGAAGAGCCGCGCAACCGGCGTGCCAAGACCACTGAAATCGTGTCTACCAAGACTCTTCAGAGATGGATGTGCTGAGTTTTCCCGGTTCTAGCAGAATGATGCGCGCGTGGCGCTTCTATTTACGCTGTCTTGGTATCTTGGCCAAACGTGAATGTTGAAAGAGATAAATAATGAACATCTCCCCGGCGGGGAGATGCAATTTAGGGCTCGACCAAAAGCACGTCACTTTCTAGGTAGGTAAGAAGCGATGGATGACTCGCAACTCATGACTCTTCACAACGGAAATTATGTATTCTCTTCATATCTTTTATCCATTAGGTATCTTGACTCGAATGCAATGCATTGGGACTTTGGAGCCCCGTGGTATCTCCCCCAACAAGTCACTGTGTCTAGTATGTTGCCAACCGCACTTTCTTTTGCCAAGCCATTCATCCCATCTTGTACATCAAGAATAAACGTCTGTCATCTATGCCAGACGGCAACCACAAAGGAAATCACTGGATATCTACACATGCTTTTCTCGCAGACAACTGAGATGCCCGGGTGCAACTGTCCTTCAATTAGTCATGTCTGTAGACATTTGCGCAGCTGGCTCGCGTAAAAAACATTGTAGTCTTGTCTCAGCTGCGCGTGTTGCGCCCGGGGCTTTTCTTTCCGACGGAGGATCCTCCTTTCTCCCATCGACTCGCATGACGCCGGGATACAGTCGAACTCAAAACAGGCATTCCGCAACCTTGTGTTCCCGGTTCATCCCGCGCTGAGTGATTCCAGTGTCCTGTCATGATATCGTCTCGTCGCAATCGTCACCGTTCGTGGTAGTTGTTTATGCGTGGGCGGCAGGGGCAGCGGCCTCGGCAGCGGGAGCGGCAGGGGCGGCTGCGACAGGAGCAGCAGCAGGCGCAGCGGCGTTGACACTGGCAACAGTCTTCTGGGCGACCTGAAGGATGTTGTCCTGGCCGAGGGTGTTCTGTGGGAAGCGCGCGTTGAAGCCAATGACATCACGGACGGCGTTGAAGGTCTGGGGCTGGACCATGAGGCGCTGAGTAGAGACGAGCCACTGGACACCCTCGGAGCAGGGAGGGGTGGTAAGAGAGCCCATGTAGCTGCAGCAAAGTTAGTGATATTCTTGTTGTCAGGAATTTGTTTTCTTACCTCTGGAACTGGCCAGCGCTGAGAAGGGTGACGACCTCCTGCATGTCGAGGGCGCCAGTCTTGGTGACTGTGCCAGGCTCCTTGATGGCATCCAGAGAAGAGAAGACGGTAGCGAGAAGGTTGGACGAGGCAGCCTCAGCCTTGACGGGGTTAAGAGTCATGCTGGGGATAGTCTTAGCACCCTCGGCACCCTTGGCGGCGTCGAGAGAGGCGCGGCGGGACATCTTGCTGCGGCGCTCGGCGGCAGTCGTCTTGTTCTTAGCGGCCTCAGCGGCGGGGGCCTCGGTAACGGGGGCAGCGGCAGCAGCGCCCTGCTCAACATCGATGTAGGTGCCAATGACGGCGATTTCCTGGTTGGCTCCCTCGAAAACCATGTGCATCTCCATGGCCATACTCCTTCCGGCATCGAGATGCTCGCTAGGCAGGTGGAAGTGGAACTGCTGGAGGGTGAAGTTGGAGCCGCCAACTTGCATAGAGCCTCCCTTGGCGATGACCTCGACGGTGGTTCCCAGGTTCTCAAACTCGGTCTCCTCCATGTTGGGGATCTGCAGGTTGATGGAGCTGCCGGGGAGGGTGTTGAAGGCACCGGCAACCATGTCGATGGGGGACTGAGTCTTTCCGGTGGCGCAGAGGGCGTTGGCAGTAGCGTCAAGAGCAACCCAGTTCAGGGGGCCCTTTGAAGCCTGTTAGTAAAGACGAGGCGAGCTGAGAGGCGAATCTACTCACATTGGTTCCGGAGTAAGCAAAGGTGTTGACCTTGACCTTTCCACCCTCGGCGCGGGGATCCAGATGAGTGCCGTAAGCGCAAGAAGCCAGGACTTGAGAGACGGAAGCGGCAAAGACGCCGGCGGTGAAGAGACGAGAAGCCATTGTAAGGACGGTAGGGTACGGACCAGCTCGTGAAGGCCTACAAAAGATTGAGAGAAGAGAAGAGTAGTAAGAAAAAAAAGTCAATTATTGGTTAAACAGTGTAAAGGCCAGCCCTCTTGGGGAAGAAACGAAACGAACGGGGAAGAGAAGTGAAGTTGGTAAAGGTTGGTGAGGTAAGAAACGAGATGAACCAGGAAAAAGGAGTACGTCTGTGTCAAGATGGCATGATGTCTATATAGTTTGGAGCTGGAGTCGTCAGTTGAAGGATGGCTATCGAGATGATCGCCCTCGAAAGTCCAGAAATAGCATCAAAGACAGCGACCCATGGGTAGATGCTCGGAGCGGACGAGGCAGGAGGGACGGAATGATGGTGAGGGACTTGGCAAGCGCTTCATCCAGGGTTGTGAGAGGAGGCGGGAGGCGAAGAGGGCGCAACGAGCAGCCATGGGCGAGTGAAGAACGAGGATAAGGGTGCCTTGCGTTTGGGGATGAGCGCCTCCGTTTCCCATGGTATCGTAGGCGTGTTTCTGGCGGTGCTGACGGGGGCGGTTCAAGCTTCTCCATCGAATGCGACGGCATGCCATCTGGACTATGGGACCGCAAGCATGGCCGTGGCCAGTGTGTTCTCGCCCGGCAGTGGGCGATGGCTGTCGAGACGGAGGAGAGGGGCCGTTTGGAGCGGCGGGCGGAATGACCAGGGCCCCGGTCTGGTTGACAGGATGGGAGTCCGTCGCCAGGATGAAACTGCCAGGCTCCGGAGGGTTGGAAAGGCTGTGGGGAATATGACCACTTTATCGGTTGAAGGCTTGGCCCAGCCAGCAAAAGGTCGAGCAGAAAATCCATGGGGATGCGTAGCACGAGTCTCAATGAGGCAGCGCGGCGTGACGGCGAGCGACAGTCTTGGTTCGGACGGAGGTGAAGCCCCGTCCCCATGTTCATGTTCTCTGCGCTGGGTGGTGATCTTCCTCTTGAGACGAAGGCGATCAACCGGCGCTCAACACCATGGGGAGCGATCCTTAAAGGCCATGATGGTGATTTCCCGGAGGCGGCAGGCGAGGACTAAAAATAGGCATTCGAAATGATCTGCTTCTAGGCAAACGGCCGTTCAAGTGCAGTTCGGAGAAATAAGCGGACGGGAGGAAATTTCCAAGAGAAGGACAAGAAATGAGGCTCTATCCAAGAGAAGTCCAAGAGATGCACCCAAGACCAGAAGGTGGGGAGGGGGAGGCCACTGGACCTTCCCTCTTTCCATCGATGGGCACAGTTGCAAGCAGGTACGTACACACCTCTGCACGTGTGTTCCATGCTTCATGCCTTCCTTGGTGAGCAGGTTAAGGTCAGGTACGGATAGGAGGAAGTCTTGGACTGGAAGGCGGCAAGTGCGATGCCTGCCGCAGCTTAACCTTCTCTTTTGGTGGAGCAGAAGGGGAGGGAAAGAAGGCTTGGCAGTTCCCGTCTCACGCGTGGCAGTGGCAGTCCTTTCCTGCGTTAGGTAGGTCGACAGTGGAGGGCGGTCAGGGACCAGCTCACAGCTAAAAACCTTAATGGGCCGTTGGTAGCGCCCTAAACCTTAAGGCCGTTTAGGGCCTGCCAGCGTCCATTGGAAGGAGGCGCCCAGCACAGGCCTCAGGAGCGCCTGCCTCCTCGGACTCTTGCCTGCTGTGTTCGGACGACACAGGGGGAAGGAGGCGGTCCACTTTTCGTACCTTCCAGCCGTCGCAGCTGCGCACTGAGACGACGCTCTGGACAGGAAGCAGCCAGTTCCAGGCCGCAGCAGGAGGCACCCGCACCGCAGCTTCTTCTTTCAAGTGTCGCAGAGTCGACGCCTCCGGCAGCAGGAACGACTGAATGAGGCCTGACGAAGACATTTCGTGATGAGGCTAGCACAGATCAAGTCATTGGATCCCGTGGGGATGGATGCGAGAAGGGATGACAGGAAGAAGGGGCAAGAAAAAACCGCCTGATTTTTGCAGAGCCAAGAGCTTGAATGGCCGCCAAGTCAAACCAGGGCGCTGGTGATGGCAGGGGTTGCAGAGGTAAAGGTCCAGCCCCGAGACCCTGAATTGCTGGTGACTGTTGAGCAATAAGCAGCCTGACTAAGCTCCCCCCCCAGGTGTCAGGTCGTGATGTGGGAGGGGCCGTCGCTGGCCGTCTGCGTGGCAGCGTACCATCCAGGCGGTACGCCGCTGAAAGCCGCTTCCCTGTCCGCCGCAAAATCCTCGCTTATTTCTCCTTCAGCGCCTCGACCTGCTGATGGCTGCGCTGCTCGTCCACTAACACGCGGCCAGTTGACCACCGGCCGCGCCTCGCCAAGTCTTGCAGCTCCTGATTTCTTCTGGGCGCGTCTCACCCTTCCCAGGGCCTGCGACAAACCATCCGCCTCCACCTGCAGACCATCACCAACTAACTGCACGTTGCATTCGCCTTCTCTTCAGCCCCTCTCCCTCGCCCTCCGCCTCTGTCTGTGAGCACTTCCACCAGTCAGCGTGCTCCGTCAAGCCTCAATGCGCCTCAATTGCAAGCCATACCATCCCTCAGCACCTTTTCTGCCGTCGTCTCGACCTCCCGTCGGTACAGCCTGCCTGTCTTCGAAGCCTCTTGGCGCGCCTCCAAACGTCAGACGCCCCTCACCGCGCCAAGTCCCAGCGCCTACCGGCATCGCGTCTGATGTTTGACGACGACATGGGGCCTGTTGAAGCCATCCCCATTCTTCTGCGCCCGCCACCATTCAGCACTGCGAAACCACTGCGAAAGACCCAGTTCCCAGACTCCACGCGACGAACAGAGGGCGCGCTGTCGTTCAGCGGGGAGGCCTGATGTGTTCTGTTTGCCTCGACCATCGCTTGGCCCGTACTCGGCTCCCGGCGCGTCATTCGGCCACCGCCCAGAGTTACACTCATGTTCGCTTTCGTTATCCGTATCCCATCCATGCTCCCCACCGCCGCCGGCTTGCCAAGTCGCCCAGCTCTGTCGTCCCAGACGCTCACGAGGGCACTCAATTTGAATGCGACGTGGGTCACCATACCTACCGACATCATCTTGCCTGACCACCTTGGCAGATACCGAATGCCGTCTTGGAAGCCAAGCAGTCGTCATCTCCCCATGGCTTCAGGTTTCTGACCTGGTTTTGCGACGCATAAACCGCGCACATGAGGACAAGCCAGTGTTAGCCAAGCCAACGACTTCTCATCTCCATACTCGTTCCCGTCGTGTCGGAATCTCCTTCGGTTCTCTCAACTTCCGCGGGACCAGCGTCTCTTCGGCGATGACCAAGACTGCACATAATCTCCCGAGATGTCTCACAACAGGGAAACAGGCGTCCCTCCTTTCTTCACGGCTCCCTCTGTGTGCTGGCTTGATCTGGCTCGATCACAACCGGCGTTTCTACAACAGTGAAAACCCAAACGGAAAAGGGGCTCACTGGCCCAGACATTTGCTTTTCCGACAAAGTCTTGAATTTGTCTTGCAAGCCACGCCACCGCCGAAAATTCTGGTTACATCAGGCGGATGTTCCTAGCTCAAGGGAGAGGTTGAGAGGTTCTCCTGTTGAGGAAGTTCTCAGGTCTGGGCTCAGGTGGACGAGTCCTCCTCTGTCAAACCACTCGAAACCATCCCGCCTCTGTTCAGCACCGCTGCATGTGCGACGGTTGTTGGAAGTCTCACCACTTACAGTCATGGAGGCTTCGAATGACGAACCGTCGTCGCCATCCGTCCACCCTTGTCAAACATGAAAGAACCTTCTCCGCAAAAGCTAGGTGGTTATTTCCCCTTGCGATGACACGGCAGCATCCTGTCCAGGGCAGAATATTGGCGATTGGCCGTTGTTGCGTCGCATCTCTCGGCGTCTTGTTCCACCAAGCTCAGCACCTCTTGGCGCTTGGCTGGCCTCTCTCATCTTGGCGCCTCGCAGCCCTCGTTCCGCTGACTCCATCCCGCTCGCTAATGCAAGCCTGGTCTTGTCCGCCGAGGAAAATAAGCAAACCAAGCTTCTTGCCAAAAGACACCAAGTCAACCACCACGACCAATATGAAAATCTCATGTAAACTCTCCGATGAAGAACCCTCGCAACCGTGGGGATGTCGGCTGTTATCTAAGATTTTCCATGATCACTCTTAGCCGCGATTTCCCCATACTGCATTCTGCCGGCAAACAAATCTCGCTTTCAAGAGGCGAACATGTCATTTCCATGATCGACGTCTCGAAACAATCCCCCTCGCAGGCTGCGCGTACCGCCAGCCGCGAAACAGTGACTCCCCCGTGAATGGAGAACATCATTGGCCAGGGGGCCGTCGCGCGCGGTGAGGGCCAATGTAACCTACCCCCTGATGAATGCTTTCCAAACCCCGCTTACTCACCCACTGTCCCGGAGACTGCCCGGATGCTCGCATTCTTTCCGAGCCAGACTTAGTTAGGCCGGGCTCGGTAGGATCCGGCGCCGTTCGTCGCCCGACCGCAGACGGGCCAAAGTGGATCCTTCGCATACCGCATTGGGAATGCGAAGCATCCACACCACGGCGGAGTTTCGGCTTTAGCGGGCGAGACTGCATTGCAATCCGTGCCGCTCCGCCGCCGTAGCGTCAGCATTATTTGATTAAAAGGGCACTTCTTAAGTTCTTCCTTCCGAACGTGCGGAGAAAGGAACATCATTCCATGGCTCTACACGACTAGTGCGACATGGCTTGTCCGCTCACCATCTAACCCAATGTGAAATGCGAGGCTATGCGAGGATTTGGACTCAACATCCAATATAAAAACAACTTCTCTGCCAACTCGCAAATGATCAAGTCCCAGCCCAGCTCGTCGTATCTTGTAAATACATAATCCAGAAACCAAACCACCGCAAGGGACTTCATCTCCACCATTTCCAACACCGCAACGATGGTCTCCCTCACCGAGGTCCGCGCCTCCAACGCCGCCCTAACCCCCTCCACCGTCCCCAAAACAGCCCTCTTCGTAGGCGCCACGTCGGGCATCGGAAAATGCACCCTCACCGAGCTCGTCTCGCTCAACCTACCTGTAAAATGCTACGTCGTCGGGCGCAAGGCCAGCGAGCCCGCAATGCGCCCTGTTCTCGAAACCCTCCGTCGCAAAAACACGCAGGCGGAGCTCATATGGGTCGAGGCGGAGGTGTCGCTGCTCTCTGAAGTGAAGCGCGTATGCGAGTTCATCAAGGAGAAGGAGGAGAGGTTGGATTTGCTGTGTTTGACGGCGGGGTATGCGCCTTTTGGAGGGCGGAATGGTGAATATCGTTTCCGCAAGTGGGTGTTGAGACTGGTGCTAACGGTCATATACAGATACACCTGAAGGGATTGAAGTTACCCACGCGCTGCAGTACTACGGCCGCATGCTCTTCACCCTCTCCCTCCTCCCGCTCCTACGCGCCTCCCCGTCGCCGCGCGTGCTCACCGTGCTGGGCGGGAGTTTCCTCTCCACGAATCTGCTAGTTGACGACCTGGACCTCCGGAAGGCGGGCAACTTTGGCGGGATGAGGTCACAGACGCACATGAGCATTATGAACACGCTCTTCCTGGACCGGCTAGCCTCCGACCCGTACAATGCCAAAATTACGTTTGTGCATAATTGGCCCGGGGCGGTGGACACGGGGAATATGGGCCGGTATCACGCGCCGAGCTGGCTGTCGCCGGCGCCGGTGACTGTGCTTTTGAAGCCTTTTTTTTGGGTGGTGGGGAGGGGGGGGAGGGAGGCGGGGGAGAGGCATGTTTATAATGCGACGAGTGGGCGGTTTGGTGGGATGGGACCGAGGGGGGAAAAGGGGGAGGTTGAGAGGGG